TGGTAAGCACACATAATGAACTGCATGTGACTACAATAGTAAAACATGCAAGAGAAATAATGTATGTTTAGTTTTGGTAAAATTAATTTAGTATTTAAAATGGTTATACTAATATAAATATGCAACAACTGAGACTTTATAAATTAAAAAAATCTCACTTATATTATCACTTTGACAGCAGAGAACTAGTATAAATAAAAATGTCAAGTTTAATGTTATACATACCAGCATGTATATTTAAAGAATTAACATAAGCAAAATATTACCTTTGTATTTGTGTTCCAAATCTCAATAGGGCACATACAACCTTGCTGAAAATGAAAATACAGTATTCATTTTTTTTTTAAAACTCTTCTGCCTCACCTGCATTGTCAGAGAAAGAAAATTAGTGTACATCTTAATTTTTTTAACACACCTTTAATCACCTGTAGAAATTCCCTATACGCACTCTAAAAATAGGCATTAGTAGACCCTGTAGAATTGCCAGATTAGTGCTTTGGCTAATTAGATAACCTGTTTTAGATGATTGCGTGCCTCTGTAGTGAATTTAGTGACTTTGTGCAAGGGTACAATGTGTATGTGTATCTCTCAAAGAGGACAAGTGATGCCTACTTATCTTTACTTAAGGAGTAAATATTTCACTTGGGATTACTGCAACTCCAACAGCTGCTGGTTATCAAGAGATTATATGTTTTTATGGCCAAACAAATGAATGGTTCACTAACCCGACTTAACTAGTCAGCCATCTTCAAAGTAAAAATATCACTGTACTTCAAAAACAAACAAAAATATATTGAGAGCTATTCAATGGTTTATGTAGATGCATTTTTAATCTATTTTACAGATAAAAAAATTTTGCTTGAAAAGACACTGTCAAGAAATATTCCTTTAATTCTTTTATGTGAATGACCTAACTAAAATGCTATTCACAGCTTTCTCTATGTCTATGATCAGGAAAAAAACACACCAGTCACCCATAAGTTGAATGTATTGTTCATTTATCCACAGTTATTGTGGACACTGAAAATACACTTGCCTTTTAGTATCATGTAACATAAATTAAATCGGGCGGATTATGCTGTTGGATCAGTTACATGTTGGATCAGATGGATGATGTTACATATTTCTAAAAAAAGGCAGGTGTATTTTCGGCATCCGCAATAACTGTGGGTAAATGACCGATAAAAATTTCTTTAAAGCTATCGCAGATTTAGAACACTAAACTTGACCATATTTTAGATTTGTCCTTCTCTGTAATTTCACATATATTGTATCAGAATCTGTTGATGGTTTGTGTTTAGGGTGGTGCAGGGGCATGTAGACTACATACCAGCTACAGACATTTTGTCTGGCATGTTGCTTTTGGGGGGATGGGGGGGTGGAATGCACTATTTCTCAATAGCTATGTATCATTTACTAAGGTTACAATTTTATTTGGTCATTAATGAGCTGGAAAAGTATGACACTGGACTTGGCTTTAAATCCACAAAAATAAATGTGGTTATACTCTGTGAAACAAAACAATTAAATCATTTAAACGTTTAAAAAGATCTTTATTAAACAGATGACTAAATAGTGCAGATGGTTATTAGAAACTTATTTTAATAATTAGAGAGCAAGCTCTTGTTAAAATATAAGCCTAAATATTATATAAATTTCAATGTTTGTTCTTTCCAATGGAAAATGAAAATGTTTTGTTGTTTTTTCTTTTAAAATAGAGCTTATTTAGTCATATTCATTTCAATACAAGTACTCTTGACTTTCTGAATCCATAACAATTTTTTTTTTAAAACTTTTATTTTTCAGGAGATGAATTCAGAAACAATAGAAGTTGTCTCCCCAACATGAATCATGCAAATGTTTGCAGCCAGTGATAGTTCCTTACTTAAGTCTGACTTTTTGTTTTGCAAGTTGTGAGTGGAGTGAAGTGCAAAAAAAATGTGAGATGTGAACAAAATAGATGTGATGTGACATTTTAGCATAAATGCATGAAAGGAATATGGGATTACCTCATAATGAACTAAATTGGTTATGATGTATGGGTGAATGTGTGTTATGCTATTTAATTTTTATGTGAATTCTTCATCTTAATTGTAATTTATAAACAATATTTATTTAAAAACAAGAATTGTAAAGGGATTATTTTGTTTCTATTTTATTTTTTTTCCTCATTCAAAAGGCAAAAACAAATTTTATTTAAGGTTTTGTCATGTTTATTTTGCTGAACTGTTAGTGGAATTCTTTCTTTTTTAAAAAAAATTCAATTTATGTAATGTATTGTATCATATCAACTTTCTTCTTTTTTTTTTTTTAAATAAGTAAAACTGATGTTAAACAACTTCCAATTGAAAATAAAATATGGATTGCCTACAGACCTCACGCAAACTAAAAATATTGTTTTCATTCATTTATAGCTGGCTGTCAGATGTAATCAGTTGAACTAAGTCACAGACATCTAGAATCCCTTTCATCAATAGAGCTACTTTTTGCAATAAGGCCTGTTTATACAATAGCATTTTATAAAAGTCTCTATACAAGTACATGTATTGATTTTAAATAACTGTGCCTATGTGTTAAAATGCAAAAATCTGAACAGGGGCAGATAGCTCTGATTACCGTATCTAAGTATTAAATTTTAAATTAAACTTCACCAATTTCTTTTAATTGGACTTCCACATTGAAGTGTCACAAATTGAATGGTTTTAGAAACACATAAATCATGGTTTTGTTCATCATCACTTTGGAGTTATTCAAAAAAATGATGTCACAATGATTGAGACCTGTGACATAAAACAACCTTGAACTTGCCTCATCTGATTTTAGCATCTTGCCATGTTATTTATTCCATCATTTTTTTTTTGTTCATGAAAGCTGTGGCTTAATACTTGTCTGTGTTAAGTCAATAACAGTGGTGAATTATTCAATAGATATTACACTTTATTGTGGTTAAATTTCTTGTCAATTCTTAATAATTGTAGTCAGATTCTTTGTTCTTGTAGGCTCAACACAAAATTAAATCACCTCATGAAATTGGGTTGTTGCTTCTTGTCTATTGATTACCAAAAACTCATTAGATTTCAAAGCATTTAAAAAAAAGTGTTCTATGTTTTGTGTATATCTTGTTCTATGTTTTGTGTATATCTTGTTCTATGTTTTGTGTATATCTTGTTCTATGTTTTGTGTATATCTTGTTCTATGTTTTGTGTATATCTTGTTCTATGTTTTGTGTATATCTTGTTCTATGTTTTGTGTATATCTTGTTCTATGTTTTGTGTATATCTTGTTCTATGTTTTGTGTATATCTTGTTCTTTATTGTTAAATTATATATCCATTTTTTCTTTCAAATTTCTGTTCCCAGTCTTTTTTTGTAATGGTTATTTCTGTGTCCAGTTTTTTTTTAAAAATCTTATCTTTTAAAAAAAAAGCCATGTTGTTCTATTAGAATGTCTAGGTGGTACACAAATTCTAACATGTAAGTTAATCCATTGCACTACACATTACCAAAAATGTACCGGTACATAGCTGAAGAATCAATTTTAGCCGTTTATTGAAGGGTTCACCTTTCCATACTGTTTAAGAACCCCTGCTGAATTGAATGAAGTGTATAAACTTTGATTAGACGATCTTATATCAATCCTTCAAGTGCTTTCTTTAGTGAAGTGTTAGTTCATTTTTCATAGTTTAAGAACCCCTGCTGAACTGAATGAGGTGTATAAACTTTGATTGGACCATCTGATATTATCAATCCTTCAAGTGCTTTCTTTAGTGGAATGTTGGTTCATTCTGCAAAGTTGGATTCATTAAAATACTGCAGGGCCACGGGCCGAGTGATTGGGTTGGGCAGCCGATTCAGAATAAAGAGGCTTACAATTATTTATCTAACTAGCTGACATTCACTTTTTTTAACAGTTTTAGTGAAAAGGAAGAGTAGGGTGCCATCTTAGGTGTCACACATTAGTTTCATTTCATATTCAAGCCATGGACACTAGTATATGATGTTACATCTTGTAATCCAATCCTTTTATTTGGTTTTAGGAATGTTTTCCCCCCCCCCCCCCGGCACCTTATTTCCTATATTTAAACCTCACTTTATTACCTTTACCTAGTTTTGGTGGTGGCACAAAATTATTCACAAATATTTTAATGGTAAATATTTTTTTTTTCAGTTTAAATAATCTATACATGAATGAAAACAGCTGATGCATGTTGAACATAAAACTGTAATGATCAAACAAATATTATGGTATAAATTTTTTTATTTCAAAACTTCAAACGTAAACATGTATATTAATAATATTATGTATACAAACATACATACATAAAAATAATATTAAATAACCCTGTCACTTTTACTTTCACTCTCACTAATACTTTGCAGCCATTTTAAATAAAACTTACATTTCTCTCCATACGTAATAGACATGGAGTGTTGGAAAACAAAACATACCTCAACTTTCATTACTGTATATTTTTTAAATTTTTATTAATTCCTACTTTGTACTTGTTCCAACATGAACCCAACTGGAAAACTTAAATCACAATCTCCTCACCTGTTAGCTCACAACTTAAAAATATTTTACCTGACTACACTAAATCGACTGACACTTTTATGAAGTGTAAGACAATCGGGCAACAATGTGGAAGCTCACAGATGAAATACAAATGCATTATTTTATTTCAGCGCAACATCCTAACATCATTTAAACCACATAAAAATCATCAACACACCATAAGATCATTTAGACTTAACACATGCTTTCCAATCAGCAACATTTTTTCACACTCAAGACTAATGATCAACTTTCTCAGCAGCACACTGAAAATATTAGCTGGAAACATGGCCAGTGTTTTCATAGGGCGAGGTGAGCAATGAGCCCAGTACTGCCCCCCCCCCCCACTCCTCTCACTCACAGACTCAAGAGGTCACACAAATTATCATCTTCTTCTTAATATGCAGTGTTAACAGTACTTTAAAGCAAAATTTATGNCCCCCCCCCCCCCCCAGGCCACACATACCAGCCTCTTCATCTCTAGCATGTTGTAATAACAGTACTTAAACTAAAGACTTAGAAATATTTTTTAAACAATTTTTATGCATACAGTAAGCAGTCTACAATTTACACAAATGTAAAGCTTAGTCAACAATCCCCCAATAATTATGGACTAGGCGACCTAGCTTTGCCCCTAACTGCCAGGCTGGGACACTGGAAGTGTCCCAAATTTCTTTAATAACAAGTAAGACCACACAATAGGAATATTTGTCTACAAACTGCTAGAACTGTCCCACACCTGCAGATTTTGTTTATAACAAGCCAGACTACACACTGGAACATTAGTCTTTGAGCAAACAGACATCCTCTTGTTGTGGCAGCCCTGGACACCACACAGCTGCAGTTCTGGGTAGGGCCTGAGGAGAGGAATGGATTGACTGTCAATTTTCATGATTAATCCTAGTTTCTAAACTAATTTTGCACCAAGACTTATTTAGATACCGGTAACTCACAAGATGAAGGTAAATTTTTATGGGAGACAAATATTTTTCTGTGATGACAAATGCCCAAGTAATTTTTTTTTTTTACAAATGGTCACAAATGTAAAACTGAAAGCTTGTTTTAACTATTATTGAAACCCCAGGCAGCAGGTCTCTTGCAGTGCTTAAGAATAATTAAACTAGAACTACATGTTGAAACTCATCCTTTCACTCCACCGAGTTCGGTGTTTCTAACCTGACTACGAGTATATAACAAAATTAGTGACACTAACTTAGCTATTTGATGAGACAAAGGAAATGCCATGTCGGGAGGTAAAATGACACAGATACCATCCAATCTGTTTCTGTATATGATTCGTGGAACAGTGCTGCGTTTGCCACCTTTTGGTGTCTGAAAAATGAATACAATATTTTTTTTTTTGGTGAATTTGAAAATCTATTTTTAACATAGCTGAGTTGGTTTTATTTTTTAAATTCAGAAAAGCAAACAAGAAAATATGAAGTTTTAATCTTTTGGATGATATGATTCATTTTAGAAATAAGAATTAACATCCATAAACGTATCCTTTTTTTTTTAGCTGCTTTTAAATCAAAATTGAAGAGAATTTTTTTTAAATTACTCTGGCTTCCATATTTTTGTGCCTTCTACACATACAACCATGCAGGTTATCCTGGTAAAACTTCCAGTCAGTTCCAGGGCAATGTTACAGTAAAGGTCAGAAATGAGGATTGTGTCGGAAATATCAATCATCAATTGTGACTGCACTGAATTCATATTTATTTTTACAGGGTTTTCATAAACGGATGCACACTAGATACATGATTTTTTAGCAACCCTCGTGGGTCAAGGCTGAAATTTTAATTAAATCATCTATAATATCGATTATGTAGGTAACTGTAAACAAGTTGTGCATATTATTGAACATTTTATTGAACAAAGCTTTTCTTCAATTCTGACACAGAAGCAGGTCTTATGGTTCCACTTTGAAATGTGACCCTAATTTTCATATTGGCACTAAAATAGAAAGTTTACATCAAATAAAGACTATGGACCCCAGTATTACACACCAAACCAGGTCAACATTTTTTTGACCCAACCTGGTAACCTTTTTTTAATCTACAAATTTAAAAGCATACAGAAAAAAGCTATCAATTATGTTACAGTTACAGATAAAGTATGTCCTAAAGACTCATCTTAAAATAAAATGTATGGACTACCTTTCCGGATCTTTTCAGCTTACTGTCTTGTTTCTTCAAAAGTTTGTGTACAGTTTGATTCTGAAAGACAACAATAACAAACAAAAATTGATTTACAATAAAAACTTGTAAAGTGTATTCAAGTTCCCAACAGGATTTGAAATTGAATTTTATCTTCGACGCCTGAAAGAAATGTACCTCATATGATCATAGACGTTGTGACACCTGAGAGAAATGTACCTCATACGATCTTAGAAACTGAGACACCTGAAAGAAACATACCTCATCTCATCATAGAAATTGTGACAAACAAAATTAAATGTAATTTTGTATATACCGAGGAACAAAAAGTTGAAACAAATTCTCTCCTTTTTTTCCCCATACTCATTTTTGTTAACATTTTTAAACAAATGTTTCATTCTTAACTCTAAAATACATAAAAATGTATGATACCATAAAATTAAATTGAAATTTTTTAAAATAAAATTTTCAAAAAAGGTGGGGATGAAAACCTATTAAACACAGGGGGGGGAATGAGCATGGATGTAGAAAACGAAACCAACGAGGAATTGCATGGACCATAATCAGGATCCCTTGCCAATAGCAGAAATAAAAAAGGGCAGACGGCACTGGGCGGGGCACTTTGTGGATGAATGCCAAATGACAGAGGAGTGAAGACAGAGTACCACCAAAACCCAACAGGAAAGGGGCTCAGAGGCAGACCTAGACTCTTAGATGGATAAATGATGAGGATAAAGATCTGCAGCAGCTGGGAATCAAGGCTTGGAAAAGAAAAGCATCAGGTCAGAGTGGAAGAAAGCCCTACATGGGCTGTAACGCTACAGGGATGGATGGATGGAAAAAAATTATAAGTTATATTAGGCAGTTATGTATAAATATAAGGTTGAATTTTTTGCAAAGAAAAGAGCTGAACAAGTTATGGTACAATATGCTCTTCCATGATTTATTTTTAAAATTATTCATCACCTTATCATTTTCCATCTTCTCTGAGGCTTGCTGACGTCTTCGTTTTGCCTTTTCCTGACGACGCTTCTTTTGCTCATCTGTCAACTCGACGGTTTTGTAGCCTGTTCGAAAATAACAAAGCAGATGAAAATAAGATTGTGTTGTATCTATTGTTATTTCACATGGTTAATGCATCTCTCTTTTTTAAAAAAAATTAACATCTAACATGTTTCAAATTTATAATAGTTTGTATACTTTAAAAGATAGAAAATGTTGGGGTTTTTTTTGTTGTTTTTTTACAGGACTTAATTTGTCATTTAGCTTGAAAATTTGTCTTTTAAATTTTTTAACTGAAATTTTCATATCCTAGAGAGCTGAAATTTGTTACAAAGATTAAATGTACCAAAAACCCAGATATATAATATATATACATATTTGAAATGGCGGAAATGTTACCTGAAGGAAGCTGTAATAACTCATCTTGCTGGCCGCCATGTAAAAGGGCTTTCTGAAAAAAATAAAATCATCCTTTTTATTTTTGCGATACTTGCTGATTAGTAAAACTAAATGTGGTGCTTTAAAGAACATGCATGATTCAATCTTTAACATACCGTAACATGTTTGAGCTTTAAAATACATTCATGAAAATAGCTTTGAAATTATATTCAACTCCTGTGTGACAACTGACCTGCCTTGCTGTTAGCAGAGATGGATCCTTCTTTCCTAATTCCCCGTAATTGTTGAGATATCCTTTCTCCAAGGCTTCTAGCCATTTGTCGTCATCTGAAATATCATCATCATCACCATCTGGCAGTTTCTTTGGTGTCTTACCTTAGGATGTAAAGTTATATCGGCCTCATGAAAATAATACTGAGACATAAAGTAGAAAGTTGTGGCAAATAAAATACCCTCAATGCACATCCTTGACTTGTTCAAAGACACAGGGGTCAATTTTTACAGGACATAATTCTTATTTAAGTTTAAACAGCTTAAAACTGCGTGGGCTGATATCCACCTCCTATATAACTAACCACAAAACCAAATCATTGCCGTTGTCACTAAATGAAGCAGATTTCTAAAAAATTTTAAACAAAAACTAAGTTTTCATAATTTCAAAAATTAAGGTAAATAATTCCACCCTTGAACATTCTAAAAGCACATATTTTTAATTACGAGAACTAAAAAAACAGAAGAACAATTTAACATTGAAATGTTTTGTAATAATGTAACCCGTCCAGTACAAACATTACCTTCTGAAGTTGTTTCCATTTCTGGGGATTTTATTATGGACATCACACTGAAAAAAAAAAAAAGTAATGCATTCTGTCATTCATAAGTTCAATTTTCTGACTTGACCTTACAGTTTGTGACCATAAAATCAAGATCCTGTGTAATTTTTTAAACTGAATTTAGCCTTTTTCCAACTCTAGTATGCTTGCCAGTATTTTTCTTAAAGTCTTTTGGCGGCCATGAAATCTTAATTCCTTTTACAGTAAATCAGAGTTGTTTTTTCCCCCAAGTATCCAGGGTTGCATCAGAGTTATGCTGGTATAAAATGAGACTCATGGTTCCTCTTGCTGCTTTTGATAAACAATAATTTTTTTTAGCCAAATAAAATCAAGGGGTACCTACTTTTTAGTACCCATGGTTTCTTTGCCAATCTTTAACTTCAGTTTGATTGAAGTTTTAGGTGACATGATGGTGCTTGTATTTTGGTTGGGCTCCTTTTTGTGCTTGTGTTTTTTCTTGTGCTTCTTGTGTTTCTTGGCTGGTGGCCCTTTGAAAAAGAAAAATAAGAAAAAAAAAGTCAGTTTAGTTTTTTGAAGAGGCTTGGGTGGGTCGAGATGACCCTCATGGTTTCTGGGGGTCCAATTTCATATTGTGGAAGTTTGCATGTGCAACAAATTCAACACTTTCTTCTTCTGCTCTTTGTGCGGCAATATGCCATTGTCATCAAATGACAAGTTCATCTTAAAAATAATTAAAATGTACATTATTACTGTTCACGGTATGAAAAAAAACAACGTATATGTGATGGATGCAAAATAAAGTTGCTACGCTCAATAATTAGTCACTCTGCCCTATATCTTGTTATCGGCAGTAGAATTGCTATGTTTTTGCCAACAACTGCTGAGGCTGTGTTCATCATAAATCAAGAAGAAAGCATTGCACTCTACCCATTATGTAGCCTTATTTTTATGGCGTTTCTCGCCCTAGCCAACATCATTGTTTCATTTTATCAATAAATGCACAGAAAAAGTCAGAATATCTAGAATATTTTCTATATTCTCTTACATTAGTCAGGTACTTCAATATTCATCTGCGCACCTTTCTGCGTGTGTTAAAAAATTACCAAAAATCATTTAAGCCAATTCAGCGTGCGGCTTTGAGGTGAATATGTTTAATAGCTTACTGCCTCATAACTGTCTACACATAATTTGATTTGCTTATCAGTGATGAGAGAGCACATTTTTGTTGAGTACACTGATAACATTTCGTTGCAAGGTGGATTTTGTGACCAGCAGATCATTTACTCTGATGTTTGAGTATGAAATTAAATGCATGTTTTGTATTTTTTGTCCATAAGATTATTATTATAATATCTGGTGGAATTGAATGCTTAATGTGTGTTTTGTATTTTTTGTCAATAAATTAGATTATTATATCTGGTTGTATTTAATGTTTAGTAGCTAGTTTAAACCAACTTTGAAAAACATGGCTCTGACAGGTTCTTGAAAAGAAATTTGGCTCTCAAAAAAATTGTAATCACCCTGCTGCTGATTTTCGGGTCTTTTGATTAATGAATTTGCCGACCACTGGCTTAGACCAACTTCAACACCACGCAGCTTTAAAACCATAAATGGTAGAGACATCAGGTTTTTTTTAATGGAAGCAGCTTTCTTCTTAATTATTTAAAATCCTAAAGCTATTCACAAGGCAACAATGCTTCTCACTTCTCGTGATATGTCGCATTTGGTCGCAATAGTAGCGAATGGGTTAAGGAATAGCAATAATATCCAGTTAAATAACTACAAATTACAAATAGGCGTTCGTATTTAACTTTTCAATACTATAACTGTCACTTAAAGTATGAAATTTAAAACTCAAATTTTACAGACCAGCAATGCTGTCATTGTCATCCTCTGCCTCCATATTGATTTTGGGTGTCCTTGGTTGCTTGATACTTGATTACAGATTAGCCTTGGCGTCTAGGCTAGTAGAAGTTAGTAGTGTAGACTGTGCTGTTACTGTCAATACTGTTTATTAAAAATTTTGAAGTTGCAAATAATTTCAATCACCCAGCAGAGCTGAGTCTGCTGATGCAGTGAATGACTCCTGACCTGAATGAGGGACCAGTGAGAGGCTATTAATATTATAATTTATTATTTAATATTATATAATAGTTAATGGTATTAGTATTTATATTTAGTTAATTTAGGCCTAATGAGTAATGATGATTTATTTAACGATTTAATTTTAATGGCAATATGGGCTTTTACACTTTTAACTTTTAATGGAAATTGAAATGGGCTTAATAATTAAAATTACGACACGCTAATTATGTGGCTTCGCAGTGTCCTTGCAAAAGTGAAATAAATTGGAAGCTTGCTCAAATAGCTGAGTGTTTTTTTATTTAATTTGAACTTTTATAAATGCCTGACTTGCTGATGTTTCAATTCCACTGAAATTTTATCAACCAGAATTAAACTGTGGGCACTGTGGGATGTTTACTTCCGGCATTTTTTTATACAGTGGGGTAGCACATCATTCTTGTAGGCATAACCTTTAAAATGTGATGAACGTTACTGTACTTCGACGATAAATTTAAGGCTCCGAATTATAAGTTTACCTTGCAGATAAAATAAGAGCCTCATGCTAGATAACTAGACAATTACTAATTTGAACATGTTACACTATAATCTGCTAATAACATAATTGACTATTTATTTGACAGTGCAACACAGTTATTTCACAAGAGACGAATATGGTCATGGTCAAGAATGGTTTTATGTTAGCTGGAGGTCACGGGCATTCATAGTACATTAATGGTTCTAACATTTGCTAGGAATAGCAAGAGAGAGAGATAGAGATTAAGAGAAAGAGAAGTGGGACCCAGGGAGAAGGGTAATGAGACACTAACTGGGATTTGGATCCTAAGATCGTTATAATGATCAGATTCGATTGATCGTCTTCATACCTTCATAGTCTAGTCATTGGTTCATACGTGTTAAACGTTTTGTTATACCATTTAAATTTTAAAAAATTTCGATATATTTTTTTTTCATTTCATTACATGAATTAATGAATCATTAAATAATAAAAATTAAATTAAAGAATCAACGTGTTTTTATGTATGTCATGGTGTTCAATTTCTAGTTTTATTACACATTTATTTGGGACATGGTTCCACTGCTGTCACAATTGATGGTACAATTTAAATTTAAAAATGCGGTATATTCGGGTTTAAGAATAAGGTTTGCTAAATCGAATTTTTTTGTCCAGTGTAACTGAGTGTACATACATCGTAAACGTAGTGCTAGCAAATTGTAAATATAAGGGGAGACTAGCAGAATTATTTTATTTTTTTAGAGACTATGTTACGACGGCTGCTATAAAGTAAAAAGTTATTTTTATTTTGAAACACAACTAACTAGATGAGATATTTTGTTGTTTTTAGTTTGTGATTTTAAAAATGTCGGTTAAGTTTGAATACTGCGTGGATTGTCCAAAGTAGCCGCACTCACTTATGAAACATGATACTTTAATAAATAACAGCACACTGATCACACTGTATTTATTTTGTAGTCACTTTAACTTTAATTTAGACTTAGACTACTGAACTACTGTACTGTACTGTTGTTCTGAATCTCTCAGAGACTACTCTTACTCCTACTGATTACTGCAACTAATACTGTAACTTTTGCCACTGTTGGCAAATTGAAATTGTATATTCATATTATTCAATTGAATTGGCTAACAAAAAAAATTATTATGTATTAATATTATTTTTATAGGTCTATAACTGTATAACTATATATAATGGTACAGTACCGTACAGTAGTAGCTAAGTAGCCTATATTATACTAGTAATAGTATTACTAAGTATTATATAGACTGAGTATATATTTATTGGGTAATCTACCACTTCAGCGTCGGCCAAGAAAAAATCCAGTTGTTCCGTTTGGAAGGGCTATTTAAACAACTATTCTTACTTTGGCGTCTGTTAATATTTTTGCTTCTGTATAGAGACTATAAAGTTATATAGCACAATACTAGTACATTGAAATAATTATCACTGCCAAGCTACCGATATGCCAGGAAGAAAAAGAGACAACAATTATTTTTTTTTTAAACCCAGATAACGCGGATGTCCACACACAGAATGTGGAAAACGTGAATGCTCGAAAAGCGTAAACTGAAATGACAGTTTGGCACAAGATGCGCCGGTGATCTTTCCCCTCCATATTTACGTGGATTCTTGTACCACAACCGTTTTCGTGGAAATTATATTTTTTTTAACTTCATTGTCAACTTGGGGGCGAACTATGCATAATTCCATGTTCACGCATTATCTTCTACTTCAAAAAAAAAATTGTTATAGTTTTTCTAATTTAAAGAAATTGTCTATTATTATTGGAATGAATACGTACAACCACAATGTCATTAAAAATAATATAAGAATAGTTGTTTAAATAGCCCTTCAAACTGGAACAGCTGGATTTTTTCTTGGCCGACGCTCAAGTGGTAGATTACCATTTATTGAATATATTTTCTAACTACTATTTCTAAACCACTACATTATACATAAACTATTCACTATATACCATATATTATATTCATAATATTAATATTAGTATTTAAAATAATAAAATATGACTTGCGAAAATTCAATCTGATTGATTTTTTAACTTTAAAATATCATTATCATTATTGGTTAAAATTCACTGAGTCACTGACGTAGTTAATTTAAAATTGATTAAACGTTAACTTTAAATTAATTTACTGCTAGATTTGTGTCCCTTTTTATTTAATTCACTTTAACAATTATGTATAGGGATAATTAGATCTTCATGACTCACCATGGGTGCATTTGTACCTCATGAAGATTATCCTGCCATAGTTATTGATAATGGTTCAAGTACATGTCGGACTGGAATAGCTGGGGACGATGCTCCATCATCTGTCTTCCCAAGTTTTGTTGGCAGGAGAAAATTTCTCCTTGGTAAGATTTTAATTAAAAAAGATGTTTGTCAAAAAAAAATTTTCAAAGGTAAATATTAAATAGTTTTCTTTAATGTTAATTTATTTATTATTGGAGATGCACCTGATGAGGATGTTAACAATCTGGCTGAACACTGACGAGGCCAGCACAATATTAATTTGTAGAGTACATTTAGGTAGATTTCAGATAGTTATTTTAACAATACAATTACAAGTCAAAATATTTATTGATTTTTAGGTGAGGATAATTCCTTTGTTGGTAACGAAGCCCAAGATAAGAGAGAACTTTTAAGTCTGACTTACCCCATAGAGCATGGGATTGTGGTTAATTGGGATGACATGGAAAAGGTTTGGGACCATGCCTTCTTCTCGGAGCTGAAACTTTCACCCCAACAACATCCCATTCTTATAAGTGAACCTCCTCTGAACCCGAAGGGCAACAGAGAAAAAATGGCACAGGTGAGAAAACTTGGTGTCTTGTATTTTAATCTAAAAGATATGTTGTTTTTTTTTCCTTTATAATTGTTAAATAAAATGTCATACATATAAAAAAAATTGTACCATCTTCCCCCCCAAAGATATTCTTTTGATTTTCTGTGCATACAATTTTTTTAATAGATTTTTTAATGGATTTTTTTTCAAGTACTGTGGCATTTATTACTTCTTCATATTTTGTTAAAAATCTGAACCACAGATCCTTTTTTGTTACTTCCTTACACTTGAAGACATTTTTATCGAGCATGCTCAAAGTAGGAAATATTATCTTAGTCAGTGGCCTAGATTTCATGCAGTCATTTTTAGTTTGTTTACTTTTGATATTTTTGGCTTAACAGGTTTTATTTGAAACCTACATGACACCAGCTTCTTTTATTGCACTGCAACCTATGCTAACAAAACATGCTATAGGCGTCTCTCGAGGCTTAATTGTATCCGTGGGGGATGGTTGCATACATATTGTGCCTATCGTTGATGGGCATGTGCTTGCTCAAGCTGTGAGGAGGGCAGACTTTGGTGGACGAGACCTCACCAAACATTTGCAACAACTTCTTTATCAACGAGGTTACAGTTTTACCACAAGTGTAGAACTAGAGATTGTAAGAGAAATCAAAGAAAAACTCTGCTTTGTTGGAGAAAGTAGTAAAGGAAGCTTGAAGCATTCAACCACCACTGCAGCTTTGAAGAAAACATTTCAGCTCCCAGACGGGTCTTCTATCAATTTAGATACCAAAATTTTAATGTGCCCTGACGTCTTATTCAAATCAAATGGTTTCTCAGAACTGAGTATTGTTGAAATGATTGTGGGTTCTGTAATGGATAGCAACATTGAATTCAGAAAGGATTTGTTTAATATGATATGTCTTTCGGGAGGAACTACTCTTTTTCAAGGATTCCCCGAACGTCTGAAAAATGAGCTGCTTGACCTGCCACCTCCCAAGCATCCACAAATGAGAATATGGACTTCACCTAAACGGCAGCTACTGAAGTGGCTTGGTGGATCCATGCTTGCATCTTTATCCACGTTTCAAACAGCTTGGGTTTCTAGACATGAATATGAAGAATATGGGCCACAAATTGTCACCCTCAGGTGCTATGGAGAATGATGTTAAAACTAGACAATATAGACTTTGCACTCACACACACAAAAAGTGGAAAATTTGTGTGTAAAATTTTGCATTCCATGTACAGTATTTTAATTAAACTGTTTTTAAAAAATAATTATTCTTACGAGTCTTTCATTCTTAAATTTTCCTTAGAATTTTGGGGTTTCATATTTAATATTAAATAAATTTTTGTTGTTTAATCTGTATCCTCTCTAATATGCATCATTTGCATATACTTTGGGGAATTGTGTTGCCTTGAAAGATTTTGAATAAATAATTACGTGTGGATGTATAAATTTGAGATTTATTCCATTCTTATTTTGTTTGGCCGACAGGTCTTATTTGAAAAGTACAAAGCTCCTGCCATCTTTGTAGCATATCAGCCACTGCTCAGCCTGTTTGGCTCTTTTAAATACCAAGGCCTTGTTGTCAGTATCGGAGATGGTATCATACATGTTGTGCCCATTTGTCAGACCCAAGTCCAGTTCAATGCAGCCAGAAGGTCAGATTTTGCAGGCAGTTCCCTGACCAAGTACCTCCAACACCTGCTTTACAACAGTGGTTATTGTTTCACTTCGAGTGCCGAGTTAGAGATGGTCAGAGAAATCAAAGAAAAAATGTGCTTTACTGCAACAGACAGGAGCCATTTTAAAAAACTGTACTCTGCTAAGGATTCCCAGTGTGTTGTGATGTACAAACTTCCCGATGGTACAAGTGTTAAACTTGATCATGAGCGTTACCTATGCCCTGAAATTCTATTCGAGCCTGACAGTGAGATTCACACAGGCAAAAGCCTCCCACATTTAATAGAGAGCTCCGTCAATGATATTGACATGACTTTAAGGAGGGAGATGTATTCTTGTGTCATAGTCTCTGGTGGATCAAGTTTTTTCCCCAAATTCACAGATCGCCTTCAAAGAGAACTGTTAAGCTTAACACCGCCAGGTGTGCACCATGTACAGTTGTGTGCCTACCCTCAAAGACGGCATCAAGAATGGCTTGGGGGTTCAATGTTGGCGTCTTTATCAAGTTTCCAGAAAGACTGGGTCTCTGTGAAAGACTATGAAGAACATGGGCCCAACATTATCTGTAGGAATAATTTCTTTTGAATATTTGAATCAAGAGGAAGTATTCCTTTCTTCCTCTTGAAAAATTGGAGATTTTTTGTCATTGGCTCTTCCAAGACTGCTCTCCATGATTATGTAAACATTTCAGGTGATGCAACCTGGGAACCAGTTTCCTCTATGATAATGAATTTAAACACATAATAATGATAAATGAAAATCAATCAACTGTTAAAGAGACAGTCTTTCAAAATTGCTAAAGCATATTTTTCACATGAATCAATTATAATTATTCTTTTGAAAGATTTATTGGTGTTTAACATGCTTATTTATGCTCTATCTGGCTTGTTCATATTTTTGACAAAGAAAAATGAAGCATTCTTAATTGCTGTTTCTTTTACTATTGTAATTAATTTTATTTGTAAATGAAAAATATTTTATTTTAAAAATGTTGGAGATTTTTAATACAAAGGCTTAAAAACCATTGGTACTTTTACATTTTAATTGATGGAATAAGGGAGAAATATCTTATGCCTGTAATTTTACTGCATCTTCTGAAACCATTCTTTTCTGTGAGTACAAGTTTGCAGCCATATTTTGAGTTCATTATTGTATCCATTCAAATTGGTTTCGGTGACCAACTCAATTGAAACTAAAAATGTAAATGATTATGTTTAAAGTTTATAAAAAAAATTTTAAAATAAAATTTTAGAACTAATTTCAGTTAGACTATAGTTATAACTTATCACTAAAACATTGACCTTTCCCCTAAATGTTAAACCAGCAAAATGTGTTTCTTGAAAACTCACCAAACTTGTGGTTGGTGTATTTTATTGCTTGGTAATTGTCCAGCTGTTTAGGGTTTGTTTATTTTTTAACAAGTGCAATAGTATTTTAACTGCTCTATGAGACTTTATAGGGTTAGACATAGTCATGTCTTGTTTTGATTTAAGGATGTTCATAAATGGATGTGTTATATTTGGGTGCTTCCTAAAACAATGTGCAGCTTCAGGATACGTGTGTACAGAGGCCAATGACCTAGAGAGCATTTAACTTTTAAAGTACCACCAGCTATCAAATTAAGATTGATAATTCTATTGCAGGTATTCCCCCCCCCCCAATTGTGTGCAAACTAAAATATATATATTTATATAATTTATACATATGAACAGTGGGATTGTTTTTAAAACAATTTATCAGTGATCTTGCTATATAATTGCCTGTATTATACCAGATGAAGCATTTCAAATTATGATTTTTTATATTTATACCATAAGGCATTTATTGGTCAGTCAAAACAGACCTGTTCACTCTTACGATTTTGGCGTACAATGTACGATTTTGAGGTGTATACATTATATATACTGTATGTTTATTTTTTACTATTAAGATAATGTATTTAACAATTTTGTGATGATATTGTACGTTTGAGGGTAAACAGGTCTGTCAAAAGCATGCAAATATATTTATGTTGACCCAGTTGTTTAAAAAAAACAAAACTTATTATTGAAAAAAAAAATTGGTTCATATTTTTATGTCTAAGAAGACAGTTTTTTTTTTAAAAGGGCTAAGATGAAAACAAAGTAATTATAAAGAGCATAGGTTGGCTTTCAAATCTTTATGGATATTACATTTTCTTTAATAAAACTGTCTTTTTTTAGAATTAATAAAAGTTTAGTTATCTCCTCCCAGTGCATTATACAGATATGAAAAAAAGTATGCTTTTTGCTTTGAATTCATCTTAAATCACAATTCATCCTTGAAAAAGACAAAGTGGGTGATTTATATTAATTTTTATTGAAAAATAATATAACACTTCTGCACATCCTCACATATATCATCTAAGTACAATGGTTGTGAATTCAAATGAATTTTTTTTTTGTGTCGACAGTATATCTTATAGTTTGTAGCACTGAGATTTAAAACAATAAAACATACTTTTTTTCATTTAAGCCATAGAAGAATTTATTTTACTTAATCTGAACTATCTAACAATAACTAGTGTCAAAGTATTACTCAAAATGGTTTTATTTTTGAGTTATAGTATAAGCATAAAAACTAATGAAAAAATTTGAAGAAAAAAAAACAACAAACAATTCAATATTTTATCATAAACATTTTTGTTTAAACAATGTGCTGTATTGTGAAATGCAGATAAATTAATTTCTATTGAAATCACCTCCATCCAATGAGCCTATATTATTTTTGTTTCAAGATGTTTTAACAGAGATAACTTTCCAAAGATTCAACCTGAGAAAACTATTTAGCTTTTTAAAAAATGTACACTATCATTTGAATATATTTAAACAATGCTATAATGATAAACAACACGAAAAAATATTAGCAAAACACACTCTTAAATTCTTTACATGTTCTAAAACTCAAATATTAATATACTGTTGAGTTCTTTCATAATGAATGAGAACAAACCCAATGACTATGGAAAAAAATTCAATATGACTGTCTAGTGTGGGCTAAGACTTCTTTGTTACCTGTTTCCTACATTAGCCCCACTACAATATTTTAAAGAGTGGAGGTCAAAGAATATATATGTATAACATAGACAGTATATAATAGTTTGAATAGTTTAATTTAAGATTAAAAGTATTGCTGCAGTCTGCTAGTAGCCTGGAGCAGAAAGACTTTTGTCCATAAACTTTCTCTTGGCAAAGCATAGCCACCACTGAAAATATATTTATAAAAATATATTCAAACTACTGGTCATCAGGAATCAAACAGTCAAGGCATCAAGTTAAATTATTATCTATAATTTAAAAACTTAAGCTAATTTATCGTAATAGTATAACATAATATATATAAAAACATATAACATCTGTGCAAGTAAAGTCTTAATTTTCTCATTGTGTTAACTTACAAATTACAGCAATTTTATATTAACTTACAAATTACAGCAGTTTTATATAGGCCTAACTTTATAAATTTGTTCATTTGCATTAGCATTTCTATTTTACACTTTACTTATCCCTTTGAGATTTAACCTGCAGGTGTAGACTCACTGACATTCTATTGTCTCAAACTTTGAAATAGTTTCAAGAAAAATTAACTACATTATTTAAAAACATGTCTGTCTCAGGATACTGAGATAAAAAATAAACTTATTAATAATGAAAGCTTACTCTTCTAAAATTTAAAAGACATTGATGTAAAATATTTTTGTTCTCATTCTGTTTAAAGCCATACAAAGTGTCACCGAACTTTTTTGTTGTTGTTCTTGTATATTTTGAGGGCTCATGATCAATGAATTGATCATTCTGACTCCTATGTTTCAGAGGGGTTCGTGATGTTACTGTGCATGGTTTTGAAGGGGATACTTCACTGGTTGCATGGGCTACTCAGCAGTGGTATTATGAACTGGGGGTTGGAAGACAGGAGGCAATAGACACAAAGCCTGCTGCCCGTCGCTGAACCGCCTCCAACCTGCTCTCATTCTGTTTAAAGTAATGCAAAGCGTCACAGAACATTTTTGTTCTCATCCTGTTTAAAGTCATGCAGAGCGCCACAGAACATTTTTGAGATAAAAAAACATTGCCTATGGTTATGATAGATAAATTATACATACTTTGCTTGGCTTATCTGTGGCATCAAAGACTTTGTCCAAAAGCCTAACTCCAGTTTCCTGTCTCAGCTGTTGAAGGTACTGCTTCATGGTATCTGGAGACAAGAAGAAAACAATTATTGAAGAGATTATCCTTGTCTGGATTGATGGTTGCAAGACATTGATTTATATTTCAGAGACCAATTCAGCAGTATTATTCAAGTATAATCCTGATTTATCAATACATGTAAAACAATATATTTAATCTGCAATTTTCAAGTACAATCTTTCCATGTTATACTATGACATCTATTCACATCAAATCTAGGCCTTTACTCTATCAGACAAGCTACGATTTCTGTTGGCTACCAACTTTACACTACTATTAAGGTATTTTAACTTGTCCTATCGCTAATTTAAATATAAATGTGTTATCAACCAAGTTATCAAGTATTTCTCAACAGCATAAAGTATCTGTTTTAGAAATTAAAATATCCAAGGACCCTCTCCAAACCCAAAAAAAAACCCCCAAAAAATGAAAGGATGCTATTAGTACTGCAAAATAAACATCTGAAATGCTACCAACATATTTTTAAACAGTAATAAAAACTCAAATTTTCCCTTTTCTGTTTTACCTTCTTCTCCCTTGTTAGCTGGCTTTGTGTACATGGCATTAAGTGGAAAGCCAGCTTCTCCTGGTATAGGGAAATTTGAAATACCCAATGTGTACATTTCTTTGTCACCCTGACTCCGTGACGAGCACTAAAATTTTTAAAAAACATTATCAATATAAGATGAAGGATGAAATAATTATAAAACTCTAAGGAATTCTATTAAATTAAGATTTTTGTTTCTTGGAAGAATTTTATTTTTTATAGCGACATGTTATTTCATATACCAAAATTTAATTTCAATTAACAGCTTTTCTTTAAAAGGACAAAAGTCAGCTAATATTTATTAATATTTTAAAAAAAAAACCTTTATCATTCATTAAACAAGATGTATGCAAAAACAGTATTAGAAATTTATCTTACCCGTTGCAGTTTTTTAAGGCACTCACTTATATAGAGAGTAATGTATATCAAGGTTCTGTCAGCTTCACTCTGGGCAAGAGAACAAAAAGAATTTGTAGAGTATTGAATGTTATAACAAGTCAACAATCAAAATATGCAACTTACACGTATTCATGGAATAAATAACTGGATAAAATAGAAAAAACAAGTTGGAAAAATTATAATTATGCTAAAAATTGATGTTTACATCCAAAATTATTTGAAACTTTGCAACATAATCTCATAGTGACAATCTGTTCTTCCATTGCAAATGTACCCTTGTTTCATTGAAAAAGGAGCATATTTAATAAGACACATGTATAGAATGATAGGGCCTCATTAAAATTATTTTCCCTAACTATACCAAAAGAAAACGTTACATTGTTACAGCAGCCTTTACTATTGGTTATGTTGGATGGCCAAGAAATTCATTTGCATAGGAGCATTGCTTCACATGAGATCAGGATGTTTAAAAACTTAAATGTGTGTCAAAGAAATAGAAAGACTATTATGTTATATTTAAATCCTTACCTTTATTTCATAATTGCGGAAAAAAATGTTAGCTTTGAAGAAAAATATGGCTTCATCAATGATGTCATAATCTGTAGCTAAATAGATAATGAAAAAAGACAATAAAATTATAAAATTGAATTGAAGAAGACAAAATTTGGAGAAAAAAAACCTAATCAAACGATTCATTTACTATAAAATACAAATAACACTGCAACAATATTAATAATCCAGTAATTATAATATTTAAAGCAATCCACTTACTGTCTTTTGGAGCTGGTCCTTTGTACTGAGTTCGAATAGGTAATAGAGCCATGTTACCTATAAGCTTAGGGGGACTTAAGAACTGGGAATGATATGCCTGTAACAAAATTAAGATTTTTTAAAAAATTGGTTCAGTTTAGCTTACAACCATTTAAAAATATTGATTAGACTAAAATATAAATATTACAATCACTTTTTCTATTAAGGTTTCTACTGTCTTACTATATGATTATACTCTTGAGCAAATAACATTTTTTAAAAATTAATAGGCACTTGGGTAAAGCAAGGGAGACTACTGACAACCATGGAAAATGGACATCGAAGAAGGAAAATCTGAGTTTTTTAATTTTTTTATGCTAGTGCTATTTCTTTCATAAAATAATTATTTTGTCCCACAAGTGTGTTCTGCTTGCATCCTCTCTCTTTGGAGGACATCTTGGCCTAAATTTCAATCAGTCAACTTTGAGAAAATTCTTGGTTAATATAAGGCATCTTTGATCATTAAGATTATTTTGAAGTTAAATTTATACCCTTTTACTTTTTATGATAGCCCTCGGATATACATGTATCTATATGTGTGTCAATTTTCATAGTGCTATGTGTTTTATGAGATACGCCATGTTTCTATGTCTGGACAGTGTAGTTAGGTCGCTTGGCATGGTGAGTACAGCCCTAGGCTGGGGTACCGCGCTATATAAAACTACTACTACTACTACTACTAAGTTTACTAAGTTTTAATAGATTAGTTATGTCCAAAAATTGAAAGTTTAAAAAAAGCAGTCCCTAAAACTTTTTTTTTTTTTTTTAGTTTGACTCTTAGATACATTTTAGATATTTATAATTTATGTAAATAATGGACTTGGACGCCCCTCCCACTCTTTTAAGACAATAAAATACAGAGCTCAATTTAGAAATATTTTGATAAACTGAACTATGGCCAGTAGTTGACCTGGGGAACCTCCATGACCTATATACGGTGGAAGACATCGCAGATCCTGCTGCTAACTGCATTTCAGTTTCAGCCCACTAACATATTGTTGTACGTTTCACGTTAGTTGTTAGGTTTGAAGATGTAAGCTTGTGTTAAGAGGGACTAAATTTGGGGTGAATTCACGTTCAAGTTGGGGGGACTAAATTTATGGTGAAATTTACACTTGATTTAGGGATACTGACTTAGCATTCAATAACGTTATAGATTGTTTTTTTCAAGAATTTAATAAAGGTAAAATTTCTTTTTTGATATTTTTATCTGAATTTGAGCAGATGTGTTTTTGCACTACTTTTTGTTTTAACACAGCCGACACCATTCTTGTGGTGACACGTCTCAGTCATCTGCTATCATGCAACAAAGATGGCAGCCATTGGATAAAAAAGTAATGCAAAAACACAGTGAATCGAGAAACATGGACTGCGTAAATTTACCCCATTTCCTGAACTTTATTTACTTTAACTTTAAATATTTGTTTACTTTAAAAACTTCTGCAGTATACATATCTAGTTTACAATAATAATTGTTAGAGTTAGGTACTTAGCTTTATTACCGATTTAACATAGGAGGATTTTCATAAACCTGAGAATATGTAATTCTATATAATAATATTTCTTAAGGCTCATAGTTCATTAAGTAAGTGTGATGCATTAGAGATAGAGTCATTAGAGTTTAAGAAAGTGGGCGTTAGCTGACATTCAATCATTAAAATTCAATTGAAACGCATTGTGGTCGTCTTTAACTTTTGGAATATTTCTTTTAGAAACTAATTAAAAGCTCGGTAAGTAGCACATTAGGCCAAAAAATAGCATAAACTTTGTTCATAATTAAAATAAACTGACCGGCATTTTTAGGGTTTTCGCCTTCCTTATCAAAGTTGGTAAGGATGTAAAATAAATGGCACTTCCGGAAAACTTCCTGATTGCTGCTCTTATTTCTACCGGTGTATGCCTGGTAAAGTATATAACAATATATTTACCCTATTCATTGCCAATCCGCAAACGTCCCTGGACAATGTGTTTGATATGCAATCCTATTAGCTGACAAATTAACGTTTTAAAAAAATTATATGATTGATTTTGATCTTATTTGTTCGAAGAAAGCACCCATTCACAATTAAAATATAAATTTATAATTAATTAAAATTTTACAACTATACTAAAATATTAAAATATATATATACTTAATATAGCCTATTTTATTTAGGCCTATATTTAACTATAAACATGGGCTTTACTAAATGTTTTGTCTTGATTGTCTGCAACGACAACTAAAAAGTTAATAATTTACTACTAATAATACTGTCTAATTAAACCAGCGCAGGCCTTTTGGGGTAAAAATCAAAGCCATTTTCTTATATAGATCATAGGACATTACCCAGCATTTGCGTCATATCTATTATAGGTTGAGTTCTTAGTCAGTATGACTACTGGCCTACAGTGAAATTTGTGGATGATTAATAGAATTGGTTTTCTGAATTAATTTTTTAATTTTTTTTACATCTTAAACCATGAGGAAAATCAGTCTGAAATTGGATAGGCGAGCAATTCTCAAACCCCAAAAGAATCAAAAATACTTAGGCATCTGGAAGTTTTCCCAAGGTTCGTGCTCTATATATCAGTGATATTATTTTTACAACAACCCCTCCAACCCAGTGAATAGAGAAAGAGAAGGATTTTTTTTAAAAAGAACATAACTATTTATTTTTAAAATTATATAATAATGAGCAGATGTATCTGTAACGGTGCATTGTATGATTTTTTTATATAAGCCGAAATCCTGTTTTGGAAATTTACCATTTTATTTTATAAATATTACTTTAATTAAAAAATAAAAATTTAATTAACTTTATAAAGAGCAAATGTTTTTTTTTTAAATTGCCATTCCATTAATGCAAAATATTTTTTTTTTAAATAGCACAAAATCAACTGAAATCTGTTATATAAATTTTAAACAATATTTATTTCAACATTCTCAAGACATAACAGTACCAATACCAATACTAAAATCAAGAATTGATTTTTTGAGCATCAAATACCAACATTGAAATAAGATGTTATATGCATAGATTTTTTAAATTAAATGTCTTCAATAAATTAAACACCAGGACTCCTTTAAACAATTAGGGTTAAAACATATGAGTGCTGGACACTAAATGCAAATGCACAACATACTGGTATTTGTAAAAAAAAAAAAAATAACAATAATAGTAATGGCCTTGTGGTGAAAATTCCAGTGTTCCAGTTATTGAAGTTTTAATTTTATTTGTATTCATGTAAGTAACAGTCTTTTGTGTACAAAAGACTGTTAATAAAAAAAAAAGATGTATAAATTAAAAAAATTGTCTACCCCATTAATAAAATTTTTTAATGAATTATTTAATATACCATATTTGAACTTGGTAATTAAATTTTCACAGACATAATTTTCAGTGGATCAATGTGTAAAATGAAATGGAATACAAAAAAACTTGACAAACATGTTCATAGTAAGGCTGCAATTAAGGGATCAATTTGATAAAATATTTACTTCATTTCATAATTCCGAACATGTGTAGACCCCAATTTCAAATAAATTGTTGATATCAATAGTTTATTAAGACTAACATGTGCCAAAATAGCAAAAGGTATTCCAATTAAATTTAAGGGAAGCCAAGTAAACTATGATAATGGTGTATCAATATCAGCCACATTCAAAAGATACAAAATTTAGATTACCATAAAACACTGCCAGAATCTAATTTTTCAAATAATTTTTAAAAAATCTAAATTGATTTCACCTCACATCATCTTAATTTAGGGATCTGCTATATAAAGATTACTTACTGAACTGGCCATGCTTATAGAAAGAAATAGAAGAAGAAGGTATGTGGAAGCTTGAAATAGAAAGACAGGACAATAAAATAAGAACATTTCAGCTAAGAGCTTTCCTCAGTGGACAGGTCAAATGAAGAAATAACAAGAAATAGAAAGTATTTAAAATCTTAAGTATTTGCCATATTGCCGGAGGACTAGTTCAAAACATAAAATTAAATAAACAAATGCTTTCAATAATTTCCACAACAAATCCATGTTATATAAGTACAAATTAAATCCTTTAATGAACAAGGAACTGTTTAATACTCTGCATGAAATACATGACTACAATCAAAATATTAAATTCCATTAAAAAGGCCAAATTAAGCATTAAAAAATTCAATAAATTCTACATATTTAAAATTATTTAAATGAAATTTTATAGGGTTTCTTCTGAGCCAAAATAGGGATTGTTTTTTAAAATACTTTAAAAAAATAAAAATAAATTATCTTGTGCCTTACTTAAGATCATTTTTTTCAGGAACAAAATAACAATGGAAGACAATCACCAAGTGTTAAAGGATCCCATTTTTTTTAAATAACAGGCAAAAGAAAAAAATATGTATATTTTTATTTTGGCAAGGGGCACTTATTATTTTTTTGCTCTGTAAAATGTAAAGCATTTGGAATAAAAATGTAATATTAAGATTCCAGTCCTTCCGAAAGTAGAGATCACTGAGCCAATCAGCACAAGTGAATACCTGTTCCTTTACCATGAGCTCCTGTGTGGAAATTTAAGAATAGAAAACAATAGAAAATATAATGGAAAATTATGTTTCACATAGTAATTAATGATATGAAACGAAAGTCAATTTGTGTATTAAGCTGAAATAAATACAGTTGTATTTCTAAGTAAAAAATATTTTAACACATTAAGAAAAATATACAATTACAACTTGAGTTAACACAAGTTATTTAGGAGTAGATTTACATACCAATTACACTGCTCAGAAAGGAAGCATATGTTGCAGAGCCTGTTACAGCCCCTAAGGTTGCAGGATTACGTTTCACTGTCTTGCAATGGAATGCTTTATCAGCAGTTATGTCCCCAGGACCCCATAGCTCAACTTCCACAACATGCCAGTCAGTTGAACTAAAGAAAAATATTTTATTCCCATAAAAGCAGAGATAAGAATATTTAAAATGTAATAAATTCTTCTTTTTGTGAGGTATTAGGCTATATAAAACTAATAAAAACAGAAAAACATGATTCTAGTTGAATATGAAAAGACAGTTAGTACTTTTAAAATTATAAAGTATACAGGTAGGTATGCTGCTCCCAAATATAAACAAAATTTAAAGTGAGAATAGACGTGCTAAAATAAATTGATTGAGTTTGTTACACATATATCAAAACTTTTTCTTCAATCTTCTTAGCCCACTGTTCCCACTTTAAGATTTACACAACACAGGTATGATGGTCATAAACTCAAATTATATCACAAATATCTCTTACCTGGGGTCAGAAACTAAAACCCCTTGAACTTTATCAAAGCCCAAATTGTGTGCTGCTATAGCCCCAGCTGCCATAGTGTTGACATTATTCGGAGCCAACGGACATAAGCCACGAACACTACCTGGATGAAAATTGTTAAAAATGAAATATTTTGATTGCAAGTGGGTGGTAGCTCATTGAGAAAAAAGAAACGACACAAAATTAAACAATTCTAATAAACTACTGCAGAGATGATCAATCATATAACTATTAGATTAGTATTTAGATCATTGTCATGTAAGAAGGAAAGAGAAGTTCAATAAGAGAAGTTACCTTCATACAAAACAACAGATTCATCAGTGACTGAACTATTTATAACCTCCAATTCTCCACTGAGCTTATATGATGACGGGTGCTTTCTCATTGTGATTTTTAAAGCCTACAGGAGACAAAAACAAATATATAAATTTTTTTTTAAATTTCATTGAATGCAGAAAATAAATAATTTAAATGATTCTCACTTGTGTCTTACATTTAATGAATTACACAAAGTACGTCTCAGCAACCTGTAATGTTCCTCTGTCTGCCATTTTCTGAATGTCTTCACCGCCCCAAAAGGCACCCGAAGGAATGTACAATCCATATGACGCTGCTGCTAAGCGAAGATTTTTTTCCAAGTCGGCATCAGCAAGTGCAGTGGGAGAACCAACCTAAAATATTAAGTTGTTTTTCTTGTTTATTCAATTATACAGGATATGGATATTTTTTTTTGATGAACAAGTCCAATCTTATGAGAGTAAAACACTTTTTTTATATTTTATCAAAGAAAATAATTTACATAATTCTTGGGACTGTACTTTATAGCATAATTCCATGTTACAAAACAAAATTCATACTTTCTGAAGATAAAATGCAATTTTTTTACAATTTAAAAAAAAAATAGAAACACACCATGTAATCAGCATGTTCAAGAAATGATGTTCCGAACTTTTGGGTGATGCTTGGATGGGCAACCTCGACAATCAAATCAACATCCCTGTTTCATAAATAATCATAAGTTTGGTAATGAGTAAAATTGCTGCTATTTTTAATTTTAAGTTGACCATTATAGCTATTCATTTTGAACAATCTCTTGGGACTGTACTTTATAGCATAATTCCATGTTACACAACAAAATTCATACTTTCTGAAGATAAAATGCAATTTTTTTACAATTTTTACTGGCAACTTTTTTTAAAAAATGTTTCTTATTCCACTATGCGTTATTTTTTAAATTTTAACTTTGAGATCACTTCTTTTAAAAATAATACATATGTCAACTGCTTTGAATTTCTTTTGAATAGAAATTGATGCCTATTTCCTTGTTTATATATTACTCAATTCATACGATAAAATAAATGTGCAGGAGTAAAATGTATCTTTGTAATTGTAAGTGTGTATGATGAACAAGACATATTTTAAGAAGCTACTCCATCTTACCGATCTTTAAATGAATCAAGATCATCTAAAATTAGGTCATCTGAAACTATCCCTTTCAGAGCGTGCTGTGTCCGATTCCAAACAAATGCCAATTCCAAATCTTTCCTCTTTTGTATTTCCGTCACCAGATACTGACCTGGGGGAATACATTTTAAAATGATAAATTCATCAAACTCATCACAGATAAGCTATTTGGGGAGTTTGAGGAGTGGCGTAGCAGTTTTAAGTGGTAAGTTTTAGACTAAGTTTAACTATCCATCTTTCAAAAAGCCCCTTACAAAATTAAGTCAACCCCCCCACCCCCACCCCCCCAAACAATAGCAAAAGAAGGAAAATAACAAAAACAACAACAAAACTACCATAAACACATTTTCTCAAATAGATTCCAATCCTATGAAAATCAAATTACAGCATCACTACCAGAAACTATTTAAATTTCTCATCCCTACCCATTTATCAACTATCAAATTAGTGTTTTCCATCCCTAATAATAATCACACTAACTCTACAACCTATATGTCCCTGGATGTGTGCCCACTACAAAACACTACTTCCATTTAACCTTTTTTACAGTTGGGCGTTACCCACTTTAAATGCCCTTAATTCTCAGTCGACCATTTTCATACTATATAAAAAATAATTCCACCCTTGACCCTGATTTTTTTTATGCTGTTCTCTCAACTTGATCATACAGTCACACTGCCTTAGTTGTTTGCGAAAAAGTGCACAAACATTTTGACCAGCCACTGGCCGTGCACAGATAAACACTTAATCATACAGACTAAAATTATATGATGATAAGACTGAGGCAATTATTTGTGGTTCAGATGCCAATCTTTGGAAAGTTACCATTGCATCAATAAAAGTTGGTGAATCGGAGATCCTGTTGTCCTCGACTGTCAGAGACTTTGGCTTTTATATTGAGAGTAAACTTAGTATGATTCCCCATATCAGTTCTGTTGTCGAGGCTTGCTTCTGTCATCTGCGTGCCCTGGGTCAGCCGCGTCCTCAACTCAATAGGAGAACAGCCAATGCTGTAGCAGTAACTCTAATCCAGTCAAAATTAGATTACTGTAATAGTTGTTTGTGGGGTTTACCTCAGAACCAAATTCAGAGACTCCAAAAGATACAAAATACTGCAGCACGCATTGTATCGCGGATGAAAAAGTCTGACCACATCACCCCAGTTCTACGAGCTCTCCATTGGGTTCATGTGAGTGAGCGCATTAACTACAAAATTTTGTCCCTGGCGTACAGCTGCATAGATGGCTCAGCATCGGAATATCTCAAGGAACTGATTTATAAACATGTATCCTTGAAGAGCCTGCGGTCTTCAACTCAATACTTACCGAGTGTTCCTAGTGTGGATAAACACAGAAAAAAGTCTTCAGAGTGCGCTCTTTTGGAGCGATAGCGCCAAAATTATGAAAAAGTTTGCCTCAATCTTTGAGGGGAATTGTAAATGATAAAAAATCATTTAAGAAACAATTAAAAACTTTGTTGTTTAAATAGATTTCGGAGGACCAGAGCGCAGTGAGCATGCTAAAGTGGCAAGGATACCATTGCGATATAAATATCAAATCAATCAATCAATAATTTAAGTTCTTGAGAATTACAATATATTATTAATATGGGCTTTTCAAAATAATATTTTTTTTTATAAAAAATTAATTATGTCAACAAAATTTGAGGGGGAGGGGGGTGTAGGAGGGGTTTGGAAATGTTTGACAATTGTTGACAAGGGGAAGGGAGGGTTAGATTAGTTGACGTGAACAATCATATTTTATCTATTAAAATTTTTATCCTAAATATTTACTGGTTATTATTACATTATTTGGACAACTTTAATGAGTGTAAATTAAAATAGTTATATAATTTTTAGTTATATAAATTTTTTTAATTGTTGATAAACAAGCTAAAGATGCAATAAAATGTTTTGCCAACAATTTTGAATTTTGTGTTATTAAAATAGATCAGCATAAAAAGTAAAATGTATCTATATATTTATTTAAATTATAATTCCTCTTTTTTAGGGGAGGGGTTTATAGTAATGTTGACATAATTAGTTAGGGGGTGTCATTGAAAGTTTGACAGTTGTTAACAGGTGGGGGGGGGGGTTAAAAATTGTTGACATAATTACTGGACGCCCCCATATGGTAGTTATTTCTTCTTTATAATTTATAATTCCTCTTTTTTAGGGGAGGGGTTTATAGTAATGTTGACATAATTAGTTAGGGGGTGTCATTGAAAGTTTGACAGTTGTTAACAGGTGGGGGGGGGGGGTTAAAAATTGTTGACATAATTACTGGACGCCCCCATATGGTAGTTATTTCTTCTGTATAAATGCCATGGCCTAGGTTGGCCCCATGAGAAATCCGGCTCTGGAAATTAGGCACAAAGAGCTATTTTCAATTATCAATGGCACATATGGATGATTAAAAAAAATTGACTACAATTTGGTACAATATAAAATACCAAGACAAAAACTTGCTGACCCGTGGTAGAGGATAATTTCTATTTATAGGCCCAAATAATTTATAATATTATTGGTAGTACTATTATTATTATTAATTAGTTTAATGTAGTTGTGTTCCTAGTTGTAGGTAGTAATAGTGATAGACAGGGTAGTTTAATATTATAATTATGTAATCAGCAGCTGAGTAGGCCATGATAAACTCTACTCAACTTGTCTTCCAATCCAATGTATTTGAATCTGATGCTAAAATTAGATCACAATTTGATATGACTTCACTTAGTCTAGTCTTAGTGAACTTGGTCGACTTTTACTCTTCTTAAAGTTATAGTTACGTAGTTACTAAGACTAAGTTATTAACTTAGAAATAGTACTCCTCCTACAAACTTATTAAGTAGGCCTAATTTAGTACTTTACTAGAACATCAATTTTAGATAATAAAAAGAAGAAATACAAGATTACCTAAAATAGATGTTTTATACTTGAGGGCCCACAATCAAAATCAATGTATTGATCATTCTGGCTCCTATTTATGTAGAGGTAATTTGCGATGTTTCTGTGCCTAATATTGAATAGGATGGTAATCCCTTAGTTTAGTGCAATTAATTATTTCTAGTTCTAGTGAAATAAATTTAAAACTTCTTATTTACCTCATGGAGGTAAAAGTATTTTTTAAAGTAACCAGGCATTGATACACTACGGCAGATGTGCTGGTGATGGACTTCTCAAAGCTTTGACCGTGTCAATCATAGTTTGCTATTACACAAACTTCAGAGATTTGGGATACAAGGCACAACCAAAACATGGATCTCTAGCTTCCTCAGCCTCAACGACCAATGCCAAGCAGTAAGTGGTAGACAGCGCAACCTCCTTCTTTGTCTGTGATAAGTCAGGGGTCCACCAGGGCTCTGTGCTAGGCCCCTGCTTTTTCGTAGCATATATCAATGACCTGCCCGAGAAGCTTTTGCGTCTATTGTCTCCTGCCTTCCAACCCCAATTCCTACCCTATGCCTAATTAACTAATACTAATACTAAGTAATAAGTTAATAAGTAGGCCTAATAATAAACGAAGTGTCTACACGTCCGGCGCGCCGGACGTGTAGTGCGCAAGATACACGTCCGGCGACTTGTCACGTGACCGCCGGACATGGCCGGACGGCTAGTAGTTTTTATAATTCCAAACGAAGTACGATTTAGTACATCTTGTCTGGTCTTGTGGTAGAGTGGTTGCTTGACGATAGGAATGTTTGAGGATCTATACCGGGGATAGGGTCGTTTTTTTTCTTCCCATTTTAATTAAAATATTTTGTATATATTTATATTATCATGTTCCTCAGCAACAGTAGTTTCATGAGAAGTTTTTAAATATTTTGTAGCAATTGAAATAATTTAAAATGAAATCTTTAACTTTTATTGGTTGCCACACTGGCCCCTAATTTATTTTATGGATTACTGGTACACAAAAAATAACAAACTAAACAAAAATGTTTACAAGCCACTTTCACTTAAGTTTCTTTTTCTATTATTTGCATTCAAGATACTCAGTACATTACTTGGTAGAGAAATAGATTTTAAAATTAACAATAGTTTTGAATTATTCGCAGTCACGTGACAAGGCTGACCGACACGATATCTCTCGCCACTTTGTTACGGCGGTCATGTGACTTGGTCGCCGGACACATAGTGCGGGAGATAGACGTCCGGCGCGCCGGACGTGTAGACACTGCCAATAATAAATCGCTGAGTAGCCCTTGCAACCAGTGAAGTATCCTCTTCTTACATCGCAAACCCCTCTTCAAACATAGTAACTTGATATATTTCTTTAAAAATTCATACCTAAATGGCCGTACCCAACGATGCCTATTTTTCTTGCCATGTCAACAGCATATGGGGTTGTGAATTAAACAAATCAAATATAAATCTTATTCACCGTAAGAGCTCTTTCAAGAAAAAGATGTTTAAAGTTGTTTCTACTATGAGCACGGGCAATGTATATCTTCTATCCCTTTAAATTTTGATTTAAAAAAATCAGTTATAATTTTAGAATATGAATAGAACATTTTTATTAGAATTTTCTCATTTATTTCACTCAATCAGAGCTAATTTTACTGTACATATGCAAAACGGTAAGCATGCTTGAAAATACGTAACTGCTTTCATTTAAAATATATTAAGTCGTACGTAATGATAGTTAGTATTTCCGGCGTAGCTTAAAGATGTTTAAAGTTATTTCTACTATGAGCACGGGCAATGTATAATGTATATCTTCTATCCCTTTAAATTTTGATAAAACAAAATCAGTTATAATTTTAGAATATGAATAGAACATTTTTATTAGAATTTTCTTATTTATTTCACTCAATCAGAGCTAATTTTACAGTACATATGCAAAACGGTAAGCATGCTTGAAAATAAGTAACGGCTTTCATTTAAAATATATTAAGTCGTACGTAATGATAGTTAGTATTTCCGGCGTAGTTATGACAACATTATAAACACCTTTATTACTTTGTTTTTCTTTGATTTCTCACAACATCGTTTATTGATGCAAATTGACATCTGATTTTTTTAAACTGGTAATTATGTATTCTTCATAAATAGATTCCTCCGTGAAATTAGGAACAAAAATAATTAATCCTGTACATAAATAATGCCTCGTTCAATTTATTTTGTTTTAAAATTATTTACTATTTACTTTATTTACCCTGACCCTACTCTTACTAATACTAGTAATACTAATATTAATTAATAGTACTTATTGACATTTTTTTGTTTATATATTTATTAAATTATAGCATACAAAGTATAGACACTTAAAACTTAGCCACTTAAATGGCTCATTCAAAACTCAATTCCTAGTCAATAAGTGAAACAGTATATTCTAGAACTATATTAATATTATTACACTTACTTCCACTTACTATGTTTTTATAATTAAATTTATCATATAATTAAAAGTAATCTTTTTTTTTTTAATTTTAGGCAAACAAAGTCAAAGTTACTAAAACTGTAATATAATTAAAAGTAATAGTTATTTTTAATACTATTTTTAGTCAAACAAAGTCATAAAGTCAAAGGACAAACTCACAAATTCTAAATTAAAGTTGTGATTTCAAATCTAAAGTGTACTCTTGCCATTTTTGGTTTTAAAAATATACGTCTTATACATATGTCCTTGGTCCATGGATGTGATTAATTTTAAAGAAATAATTTCACTATAATTTAACAGTAGAAATATTAAAAAATAAATATTATAATTATACATCTATAATTTAGCTATATATTTACAGAATTAAATAAAGGCTACAAATATTTTACTATTTGACATTATACCAATAAAATACATTAATGCTAAATTTATCTTCAAAATATGCTTCTGTCATTAGATACTATCATAGCTCTGAAATCTTCTAGATACTTAGATACGTAAAGCTATTTTATCCTCAACAGAGTTGGAGCAGATCCTGACTACTATACATAAAAAAAAATGGTAAAGAAAAAGAAGAAGGGATCTGCCAAAAAGGCAATGAGTGATGAGGAGAGGATAGCATATGAAGAACAAAAAAGGCTTGCAGAGGAAGAGATGAGAAAGAAGAAGGAAGATCTATTAGCCCAATTCTTAAAGGTAGACCTACACTAAAATTTGTAATAATGAAAAGCAAACAGTACCGAGTCCTTAACAACATCATTCACATCCATTGAATATTGACACATAGGTAAATAATTTTACTAACAGACACAACAAAAATGCATGTTATGATGTAAAATCAAAATTAAAATTAATTAATAAAATTATATATTGAACATCAACATTAAAGTTTCATTTTACTATAGAGTAATATTTAATTAATTTTAAATATTTTTGGCATCCTTCCACTTTCATGAGACAATGGTGGAGCTACTGTTATTATGCATTGTTTGAAAACTTTCTTGTGTGGCTTATGAGGCCAATCTTGGGGTGGCAGTCTTGGATGAACTTCTCAAAGATGAACCTTGACTGCCAGTTTTCTTTGGCCCGCTATATTGCAGTTTTTGCTAGAACCACATCATTTTCAGCATCCTCTGCACCCATATTCAATGTTGCGTACCTGCTGAAATACCTGGAGGACTGCATTCAGGTTGAAGCAAAGTAAGAGATAGGGCCTATAAAAAGGGTAGAGGGAAAACATGAAGAATTACATAAACAGATGGTGAACATTTCAGCCAAAAAGCATTTGACAGCAAAAATAGTTCAAGACAGAGACAAACACTCTTAGCTTGTTGTATAGATATGTAGTCTTGTGGAAATGGTAGACAGATTCATCTATGGAAGTTACCCATTGAAGCAAAGAATGTGCGTATGAGATTAACAGGAAACATAAAAGATTAGAAATTAATTAATTAATTTAGAAGAAAATCAAAGATTGCAATAAAACAATGAGTTCTGCATAGGTAAGGTTAGCAAGGATGTTGGATGTGAGGCTAATATCATGGAAAGAACACAAAAGTCAAATGGGTTCTTGCTTTATCCCAGGACATTTTATCATCCACAACCTCCCATTAACTTATTTGTTATAATGTTGCAAGAACATGTGTAAACTGTACTGAAAAAATAACTTCACATTCTCATAATTGGGAAGGAGTAAGTTAGCATTTAACAGTAGCAGAGGGTATGGGGTAGGGGTTTTGGATGAAAGTAAAGGTTCAGCAGAAGGGAGTAATGTGTTAAGTGGGTCTGATATTAAGCCTGGGGGGGGGGGTGAAAGGGAAAAGTAAAAGGTAAGATTGGAAGGGGGAAAAGCAAGTTTGGATGAAAGTAAAGGTTCAGCAGAAGGGAGTAATGTGTTAAGTGGGTCTGATATTAAGCCTGGGGGGGGGGGGGGAAAGGGAAAAGTAAAAGGTAAGATTGTAAGGGGGAAAAGCAAGTAGAGATATATTGAAGTGGGCAGGGGAGAGCATGATGGGAGAGATTTTGAAGAGGGCAGGGAAGAGAGGTTGAAGAGGGTAGGGGAGAGCACAGAGGGGAGATGTTGATGAGCACATGGGAGAGTACAAGGGGGGAGAAATGTTGAAGGGGGCAGGGGAGAGCAAGATGGGAGAGATGTTGAAGAGGGTATGGGAGAGCAAAGAGGGGAGATATTGAAGAGGGTATGGGAGAGCACAGAGGGGAGATGTTGAAGAGGGTATGGGAGAGCACAGAGGGGAAATGTTAAAGAGGGCATGAGAGAGCACGATGGGAGAGATGTTGAAGAGGGTATGTGAGAGCACATAGAGGAGATGTTGACGAGGGCATGGGAGAACACAAGGGGAGAGCATAAAGGTGAACAATGTGGAAGAGGGCAGGGGAGAGCAGAAAGGGGGGATATGTTGAAGAGGACAAGGGAGATCAGAAGGGGAGAGGTTTTAAAGAGGGCAGGGGAGCACAAGGAGAGAGATGGTGAAGAGGTCAGGGGTGAGCACAGGGGGAGAGATGTTGAAGAGGGCAAGGGAAAGCACTGGGACGGCGCTGTTGAACAGGACAGGGGAGAGCACAATGAAGGTAACGGGCGAGCAGAGACGATGGAGGGAGAAGAAATGTGGAAAAGGGCAAAATGGTTGGAGTGTAACAGCCACGTAGTTAGTAAGAGGTTATGTGCAAGGCACCCGAGGTGAGCCATAAGGATAAGGCTGTGAAGGTTTGTATGTGATGTTCTATAAGATGACATGGGATTACGCGGATAATGGGGGGAGATGGTAGGTTGGGTTTGTGTGGCATAGAAGTGCTGAGCAGCAGATGGGGATAAGGTGGTAGGAGAGATATGATGGGCGTGAGAAAAAAAAAAGGGGGGGGGGTGTATGTACGAGAGCATAAGGGATACGGATGGTGAAGTTCGAGCAGGATAGTATTTAATAAGTGCTTCATGTAATTCTGACAGTCATTTTTATTATATCTTGATCCGTAAATATATACACATGGCGTAGAAACAAATTAATCTAAGAACACGGTAAGCTGAACTTGAATTCATTGAAAGGAATTGTCCTGTTAATGAATTTAAGTTCAGCATATCTTGTTCTTAGATTTCATTTCACAACTGGAATGCAGTCCATCAATTATATCTTTTAGAAAAAAGTAGTATATTCGCAATGTTATACAACTTTTAAGTGATCTGTATCTCCACATCTGCACACCAAACAATGGCGCATTTGATAAGAAGCACTTTAAAAAAACGGTGTTGGTGTCAGGGCTAAAAGTAAATGGTTTCACAATCCTTTTCTGGCCTCGGAGAAGCCTGAAAACCACAAGACAACTGCCGTTGTAATTGTTTAATCAAGCAGTCGTGTGTTGCCCGTAACTTGGCCTGTGTCAGCCCTAATAAGGGTTGGTGAGTGGCGGGTTGGGTCAATGTGGAAAGTGACGGGTGATTCTGACCTTTCTCGTAAGAAGCAGTCAGATCTAAAAAAAGAGTGATCTCCCTTTAATTTTTTACACCATGTCTGAACGCAAAGCCATTTTTTAAAACTTTAAAATCACGTATCTTCTTTTCTTGAATCAAACGTAGTCTCCGTTAGTCTTGTCCATCAGCCCTAGGATCACGAAGGTTTGTGCGAGCAACGCAGTTTGACGGGTGCGCCGATTACATTTCACGTTACCATGCGCACCGCAAGCACGGCGAATATGTCTTTTGTCAAGGACTGCTCCCTGGTTATATGATGATGGCCCAACCCCTGATATAGTATATCTGTAGCTTCCGTGGTGTATCACTGTCTGGTTATATGATGATGGCCCAACCCATGATATAGTATATCTGTAACTTCCGTGGTGTATCAATGCCTGGTTATATGATGATGGCCCAACCCATGATATAGTATATCTGTAACTTCCGTGGTGTATCACTGCCTGGTTATATGATGATGGCCCAACCCCTTATATAGTATATCTGTATCGTCCGTGGTGTATCACTGTCTGGTTATATGATGATGGCCCAACCCATGATATAGTATATCTGTATCGTCCGTGGTGTATCACTGCCTGGTTATATGATGATGGCCCAACCCATGATATAGTATATCTGTAACTTCCGTGGTGTATCAATGCCTGGTTATATGATGATGGCCCAACCCCTTATATAGTATATCTGTAACTTCCGTGGTGTATCAATGCCTGGTTATATGATGATGGGCCAACCCCTGATATAGTATATATCTGTGTTTTATAAGTGCATGGTTACAATGGCGTAGCAAGAGGTGTGTGGAGGGGGCGGTCCGCCCAATGTGGCTCTTTTTTTCCCCTGAATATGGAGGGGCTGCATTTTAGGCTCACTGCAGAATTTTAGCGTGGCACAGGAGCGGCAAAAATCTTGACCCGCCCCGGGCGACTCAAACCCTAGCTACACCACTGCCTGGTTATATGATGATGATACTTTCCCTGATATAGTATGTCTGTAGCTGCCGTGTTGTATCACTGCCTGGTTATATGATGATGATACTTTCCCTGATATAGTATGTCTGTATCTGCCGTGTTGTATCACTGCCTGGTTATATGATGATGATACTTTCCCTGATATAGTATGTCTGTAGCCGCCGTGTTTTATCACTGCCTGGTTATATGATGATGATACTTTCCCTAATATAGTATGTCTGTAGCCGCCGCGTTGTATCACTGCCTGGTTATATGATGATGATACTTTCCCTGATATAGTATGTCTGTAGCCGCCGTGTTGTATCACTGCCTGGTTATATGATGATGATTCTTCCCCTGCTACAGTAAGTCTTTAGCAGCCATGGTCTATCAATCACTTTCGAGGCTGCCTTATCGTGTTTGTTTTTATTGGACTTATCTGTTTTAGGGCTACGACAATTCAGCAGTTGAATACAACCCCTCCCCCCATTTCCAGATAAAAAAATTGCCCATTTCTTCACCATAACAGTGACAGCGTCTATCCTCATTGCGACACAATTTCCCTTGTACCCGACCCCCATCATTAAACACTTATTTTCTATACATCGTGTGTCTAATGGCCACCCGCCCCCTCCTCACACTAACAGAGATACCCATCCATACTATATATATATATATATACTATACTAAATATATATATTATATACGTCAATACAATAATAATATCTAATAATTATTAATTATTATAAAAGAGAAAGGTAACAGTTCGGATAACCAAATATTAAAATACACGCGTTTGGAAAATCGACGCTCTGCTGTAATGATAATTTGCGTGCGAGGTGTGTGTATGGAGGGGGGGGGGGCGGGCACACATTTTTGAGTTCGCCCCTGGCGGTATTTAATCAAAGTTTTGCCACTGGACGCTGGCCTGTAAACCGAGGAAACAGTTTAGGCTTAGGCCGTTCTCCATAACTTTAAAAAGAATAACGTTTCCCTCTCCATGTGTGCGTGTGTCTAAGTCTTAGTGTTGCTCGTGCTAGATGCTCCACTGTGTGCCCCATTCCTCCACATAACCAGCGTTTGATGAAGTGGCCATATTTGATCTCTCTTCACAAATCTGTTGGAGATCGTTTTCTTACACCAGCCGTAGTTTCTAATTTCACAACGGACTGTGCTCTTGTTTACATGGAATTGTTCAGTCATTCTGTTGCTATTGTCATACTTGGCTTGTTTACAATGTTAAACACTCCAAAATCACCGTCTTGATCGCGTTCATCACATCACGTCTCAATCACTTCTCATTACATCTTGTCTTATCACATCTCATACACCCCATCCCATCTCATATCATCACATCCCTTCACATCTCATCTCATCTCATCTCATCTCATCACATCTCATAGCATCACATATAATCTCATCTCATCACAACTCATCACATCACACCTCATATCATCACATCTCTTTTCGTCACATCACATTTCATATCATCACATCTTTTTACATCTTGTATCATCACACCTCATCACATATCATCTTATCACATCACTCCAATCTCATCACACCATATCTCATATCATCACACCTCTTCAAATTTCAACACATAATTTTTATAATCTCATCACACCTCATCACATCTCATATCATCACATCTCATCTCTTCACATCTCATATCATTTTATAAATTCTCATCACACCTCATCACATCACATATCATCTCATATCATTATATCTCTTCACATCTCATCACATATCATTTCATCACATCTCATCACATCACATATCATCATATCTCATCACACCACATCACATCTCATCCCATTACATCTTATCACATCATCTCATCACATTTCCTCACATCCCATATCATCACATCACATATCATCTATTCACATCTCATCGTTCAATGTGTTGATTGTTCTGCCAAATGTCTTTAAAACTTTAAGTGATTTCTTTTATAGCACTGAACACGCGTCTTACCGTATCCCAGAAAGGTCACGGTTCTGTTCTCAGTTTGTGACTTGCGCCTCAAAAACTTACAGCCCCCCCCCCCAAAAGTCTCTCTTTTGTCTGACTTTCTGTTTGTTTTCATCTCTGCTGGTATTCAACAGTTTCTCTGTATACTTTCCCCAGGTTCTTCTACTCAGTAATCACTCGACATCTCCTGCTGCAGTGTCTTCCCGATAGTTCTGCCACGCTGCAGACTGTAATGTCTTTACTCAAGTCGGAGTCTGACTCCTGCAATAGCTTTGTTGCCGGTACCAAGTAAACTAATCTACCTCTGATCAGTCCGCCCTTCTGCTCTACTATAAAACAACATTGTTCTGACCTTCCCCTGAGTTCAGAAACTAACATGTCCACGGGCTCTCTGTACTATATGTCTTCCGGAATTGAAAAGATTTTTGAATCTCATTTCCCTGGGACTACAAAACAAAACCAACAAAGCCACAACTACTACGATAATCTTTAAGTTTCGATAGCACTGCGTCTGGCTCAATGTCCATGTCTCTTTACCATTTTATTTCATCATGCACTTTGTATGGCCGTCGGGCCAGCATACTGCAGAATAATAATCGCAGTCTGTGAAGGCATTTAGCATTTTTACGACAAGGTATCTCTCTATACAGAAAACTAGCTCACACACTATAAGGGTTGTTTTCGTTTTCTTTTTGATTTGTAAATAAAGTTTAAAATAATTTAGGATCAGTTTTAAGAAGCGTGTTGGGTTGACGTAGCAAAACCGTTGTGAAAATGCCACCCAAACCCAAGGCTAAAGGGAAAAAAAGGAAACTCTCCACAGCGGGTATGACGGATGAGGAGAAGTTAGCCTACGAAGAGATGAAAAAGTTTGCCGAGGAGGAACTGCAGAGGAAGAAAGAATTGCTACTCAGGAAATATATGAAGGTTTTTAAAAATAAAAATTTAAAATAGAGTTCCGGTTCTTGTTCAAATATTGGTTGTTTCTCAATTTATTTCAATCCAGAGGCAGTAAAGTCGCTTTTTATTGTGTCTGAGACACACTCACTTGTCTAAGTCACTGCTACTTGTCAATGTTACTGCTACATTACTTGTGTCAGTTATTGTTACTTTTTTCCTTAGGTGAATTATTAAGGGAATGGGGATATATTTATTCAAAATCAGCCACAAATATTCAATATTTTAGAACCAATGTGTTGAGAATAAAATAAACACCAATATGATATTAATTTTTTTTAAAAATAAATACAATTGACGACTAGAGTAACTGTACGACACAAGTGACAGCAGCTTAGACACCAGTGGCAGTAACTTAGACACAAGTGGCAGTAACTTAGACACCAGTGGCAGTAACTTAGACACAAGTGGCGGTAACTTAGACACAGGTGGCAATAAATTAGGCACAGGTTGACAGTAACTTAGACACAGGTGACAGTAACTTAGACTCAAGTGGCAGTAAATTCGGAACTGTTTGTTGCACTAACCCATATGGACAACCAAAGTGAAGCTGGCATGCGTAATAGTTTCTGTCTGAGGGTAACCCAGTTAGCCATACAGCTTAGACAAATGAAACCCTGATTTTGAGGATAACCCTGTTAGCCGTACAGCATAGATAAATGTAACCCTGAGTCTGAAGGTACCCTGTTAGCCGTACAGCATAGATAAAAGTAACCCTGAGTCTGAGTTTAACCCTGTTAGCCGCCCTACAGCACAGATAAATGAAACCCTGAGTCTGAGGGTAACCCGGTTAGCCCTACAGCACAGATAAATGAAACCCTGAGTCTAAGGGTAACCCTGTTAGCCCTACAGCATAGATAAATGAAACCCTGAGTCTGAAGGTAACCCTGTTAGCCCTACAGCACAGATAAATGAAACCCTGAGTCTGAAGGTAACCCTGTTAGCCCTACAGCATAGATAAATGAAACCCTGAGTCTGAAGGTAACCCTGTTAGCCCTACAGCACAGATAAATGAAACCCTGAGTCTGAAGGTAACCCTGTTAGCCCTACAGCATAGATAAATTAAACCCTAACTGTTTTTATTGAAAGTATTCACCATTCATTGGCAGATTTAAATGTGAGCATACAGGCCTTTACGCTTGAACAAATCTTTTTTTTCTTCTAAGTCCACATTGGCAGAGTTAATCAGAACTGACGTCAGTTCTGAAACTGAAATATTTTTTTGGTCATATCTCATTTTCTTATAATTAGCAACCTGCTATGCATAAGTTTTTGGGGTGTTTTATTTCCCAGTTTTATCATTTCCCAGGACAAGCTTGCCAAAGAAGAGAAGAACACAAGATACAATCTAAATAAATTAAACCACCAATGGAGAAACATCATGAGGGAAGCCAAGTCCAAAGAACTGAAGAAAGACATTGAGATCCTAAGCCAGACGTTTGAGCGAGTCATTGACCGTAAAGATGCTGTCATCAAATCCCTGTGTGTTGACATTGCTGAAGCAGAGGAGCAATACGCAATGGCTTTGCGAAGCCACTTGCAAAACACAGACAGTTTGATGGGTAAATTTCTTTCTTTGTTAATAAAAAATAGATTTAAAAACCGCCATCTTCATTTAAATTAAACTTATTCCTCCTTTTGTACTGACAATTTTAACTTAAATTATCCTCTTTTTTGTTTCTTTCCCCATGTGTGTTGCGTTAATAAAGAAATTAAATTAACTGTTATCAAAACATCTTACAGACTGTTTTCAAAATACAAATTAATTTATGTCAAATACCTATATTCCATTAATGTATCGGTGTAATACACAATTTAAAAATATGAAGAAATTTTACAAAATGAATCACCTAAAAAGCTGTGTATTCCCTTCGAAACTCTTATAAATCTGAATAGAAATTATAGTGTCCATGTTATAATTATAATAACTGAGAGTTTCACCTGAGAAGGTAAGTCCAACAGCAGTGTAAAAAGATGATTAACTGAGTCAGTTGAGACACTGAAATAATTCCTACACATACTTTTTAAAACCTCTGATCTATTTATTTACAGTAAATCATTTAACGACTTCCGTTTTTTTTAAAAAAAGATCACCAAAAATTACGTTTGGACACACTGACACGTGAGTACTACTATGAGTTGGAGATAATCTGTGAGGAGTTTGATTTGGAGCGAGCCATGTTGGTAGAGCAGCACAACGGTGAAATGAATGACATTGCTGACATACTGTTTGCCATGGAGCAAAATTTTCAGGATCGGGAGAATGAGGCAATGGCAGAGTTCAGTTCCTTGAGGGATGAAATAAAAAATAAGGTAAAATTGCATAAATACTATTTTTTATTGAAACTGTAAAAAAAAATTAAGAAAATGCAGCATATCTTAATCAAATTGATGATTCACAAGGTGGTAGGGACTGAGCCTGAGATATATGCTTGTAAAACCTAATCGCTAATGAATGGCATTTATATCTTTTAACTTTTCTCACAGAACCTTGAAGAGAAACATGCACTTCGTGTTCAGCTGGAAACAAAAGTGGAAGACTTATGGCAGCAGTTTCGACAGGCACTTCAGAACTACAACGACACCAATGAAGAGAGGAAGGCCACCTTTGAAACCTTGAAAATCAAAGATGAAAAAAGCGCTAAGGAAATCGACATGCAGATGCGTAAACTCCAGAGAATTTCTGTAGGTTTTTAAAAATAAAATGAAAATTTATTTATCAATAAAAAATGAGCAAAATACAGTTTTAAAGATATCGGGTGTAATTATTATCAGGTTTAATTAAGTAAATAATAAGTTAGTTAAAAAAAGTTTTGCCAGATGTATATTATATTTTTTTCCTAATTTGGTTAATTTTGCCTGTAGCATTTTCTGCATAGATATAATTTCAGAAATATTATATAATATATTTTAGATCAGTTGTAAATAAACTGTCAATAAGTTTTTTTTCTTAAAATGCACCTTGATATCCCCCTTGTAAATCAAAATTAAACCTAATCCAAGAAATTCGAAATGTGTCTGTGGTATCAATATTTACTTCTTTTTTTTTTCAACTTCAGGACCAGATCGCTCAGTTGAGAGCAAAATTATCTGCAAATGCAAAAGAAAGTGAAGAAAAAAATAAATTACTGAAAGAGGTAAAGTCTAAATTTATTTGAGGTGTTAATCCCCCTTAGCCATACTAAAAGAAGTAATCACAAGATTATATTGTGACCTATAGTTGTATCATTCCTAGCCGTTTTTCAATTTGCTACATTCTACATATTAGTGAAATGAACTGTTTTATCTGTAGATTGAAGATGATGAAGATACATTTACAAAAGAGGTAAATCAGATTTGAGCTTTTATGCATTCCATTTGAATTATCTTCAGACGTTTATATTGTTGCAGCCTTACATTTTTCTGTGCACTGCTTTTAAATTGATTTTATGTCTTATACTATCATATTTTAATACAAAGCTACTGACTTTATACTCACAGCAACATGTATCAACCTTCAGGCAAATAGAAATGGGGAAAAAGCAGCAAGTGGTAAAAAAAAAAAAAAGATGCATTTTAGTTTTAAAAAATGAGCCTGTTTAAAGCTGCACGGCCTAAATATTTCTGATTCTATTTCTCTTAGTACCCGGTATCCATTGATATTTATTAATGCTGAATTCTAAGTTGTTGAGCAGACAAATTTTACTAATAAAAGAAATTCAGGAACTAGTGATGTTGATGCTTGTTATTGCTATATTATAAGATGTCTTCTTGCAACTAAATTATAAATTCACATGAACACTACTAAATGACAGAAGACTGGGTGGTGAGTTATGTGGGTGCTTGGTAAAGAAGAAGGAACTTGATGTGAGAAAATGGAGCAGTACCAGTATATAGTATACTGAGGCCACTTATAGGACCAAAACAATCTGATCACCGGGTTAGGGGGTTTGGGGGGGTTTAAACACATAGCTCTTAAAAAAACATATTGGAATTGAATACTCATCTTGCTGCTCACTTCTACTAGGAAAGAGAAAAAATGCAGAAACACTTCCATGAATTAAAAGCTCAAATGAACAAAGTCAGAGAAAAAGAGTGGGACAAGCTTACAAAAATTACATTAGAAAGTAATGCAGCTATAAAAGAAATCAAAAGGCAAAAAGAGAAAGTAAGTAGAATTCTTTTGAAATACTAATTATAAAGAAATAAATAACTTCCCCTTGGAAAAAGATGTTAAATATTTTCTTCTTTTTTGTTTTATAATAATGTTTCCAATTGTTTTAAGAATTATTTTATTCCCAGTTCCTCTGTTGTTAATTGAATTCTGTTTCAACAGAAGTTATGGCAATAACACACATTTAATTTTCATTGCTGGTTTCACTAAACATATTTACATAATTGGTCAATCAAGAATCCATCTAATTTTTATCGATAAATAAAACACCTTTGGACTCAACTCTGATCCAAATCTTAGTTCTGTGCCAGTCCACAAACCATTATACTAAATTCCAAAACCAAACAAAACTTATTTATATATTATTTTTATTCCTTTCAAAGCAAACATAGCAATAAGATTCTGCAAGATTGCGTTTTACTATTTTGTGCAACAAAAATGAACTGTAATTTTTAGAAATTACAATAAAAATTAATCAAATAAGCTAAGAGTTTATACCAAGATATATCTTCCAAGGGTGAGTTGATTCTTCGGCTGGCTGAAATGTGTCGTAAGCTTGAGACGGAGGAGGAAAAAGTTCTACCGTTTTATGCATCTTCTTTAACCAAAGAAGAACTAGAGGATGTGGAAAAGGCAGTGCTGGAGCCACCATCACAACCAATGGCTGAGGTAAAACTACATTATTTATATATAGTATATATATAAAATTAGATATATATATACTATATATATTATATGTATAGCAATTTTAATTTTTGCACTGTGTGTGTGTGTATCTATACATATGGTGCAAAAAATGAAAATTTAGGAATGGCACTAAATTCAACATGGGAGCGGGGGCACGATATCAGTGAACAAACCACTAGTAAACAAATTATTTTGTTAAGAAACAAATTGTAATCTTATATAAGCACCACAACCTTTATGACATTACTGAATGGCCTATTTTGCAGGCAATGCATGAGTACACAGCATTAGAGAATTTCTGGAAGCGTTACAATAAAGTTCTTTTGGACAAACTGGCCTTAGAAAAGGAAAAGCAGACCATGAACTATGAGAACCAGCAGCTGCGAATGCTTCTCAAACAGTACCTGGATGGCATCTCTGTCAATGATGAAATCCTCAGTCAAGTCAACCCTCTCTTTGTTGTCAATAATAAGAGCAATGTCAAGTAAGTTTTTTTTTTTTTAAAGGTATTCCTTTGTCCGAGCAGATTTGCTCTGGATGTCATACCCCTTGCTACATAAGATGTTTGAAAAAAAAACAAGGAGGGCGTTAACATTGTTCCCACCCATGCACTGTTTTTCCACAACTCAACCATCCTCATGTATTTCTTCACAGCTTCCAATGATTTGTTGCTATGTGTGTTATTTAAAACTCTCTTTTTTTTCCAGGATGAATGTTTCAGTGATGGACTCCAGAATTCGAAGACCAGCTCCTGCTACTATCATAGAGGCTGCTCATGCCGTCAAACACATACTCAACTAATGTGAAGATTATTGGAGAGAAAAGAAAGTTGGTCTAAAGTTAGAAGGAGTGATTGGAAATTGAGGGATAATAAGTATCCCCTTTACTTACTATAGAAAACTGTGATCTAAGAGTGCTTAATTTAAAGATTCATAAAACAACAACTGATTTTGTTGCCATTTTCTGTGACCCATCTCGCAAGGAAATGTTACTTGGATTGAATGTTTTTTTAAACCATACAATGAATTGACCCACTTTTAAGAAATACGGTATAAAAATAATCCTTTCTTTTTTTTTGAAGTGCATCTTTTTAAACATACAAATTTGCTAAATTAATGAAAATGAATATTTGACATTGAGTAAACTTTCTTCATAAAGGGCTAAAATCTTAAAAGAAATTACTTTGTTATTAGAGTAAATGAAATAAAGAAAATTATGAGAAAGATTTGACTTCAACTTTAAAAATAATAACTAGGCCATGTAACAGATCTGATTTTTGTGTTCACTGGAATTAATGTTCCTTCAATGTGCTTTTTGAAAATAATTTTTAAATAGATCACTTGATAAAAATTAGACGATTTCTCAAAAGCCCTCTGCTAAAAATCATAAAACATTCATTCTATGGGCTACGTTAAAATTTTTGTAAAGCAGAGTATCTTGCCGCCTACTTCTATCACTTTGGATTGGTTCCAAAATCATGTTTGTTGTTTCTAAACTCTAATCCAGTAAGTTAAGTATGGGTTAATTAAAACAGACCCAATAACTTAGTTTTTAAAATGAAATGTATACTTTTACCCTGAATGATTTCTCAAATCACGGTAACGTCATGCAATCCATGTTAACTCAGCCAAACCATGACAACATAAAATGATATGAAAGCGGAAATGATATTCACCAACCCAATACAATCTTCTCCCCGAAAATAAAGTTATTCGCTCGTGTACCTAATCTACCTAATAGAAAAAAAGTACATTACATTTATTAAATTAGAAGTAAATAGCATTTTAAAGATTTTGACCTTGCAAACTTAAATTTAAAAAAAATAACTTGAAACAAATGAGTTCATTATCATTAATCCTTTTATTCGTATCTAAGGTGATAGTATTTTTTAAATAACAGTTTCAAAATGTCATAGTGTACATTACAGCCATGTTAAAACATTATTTTAACAACTTCCTCTTATAAAATTTAAGAACTGAAAAAAAACCAAACAAAAAAAACCCTACAAAATTTTAGCATTGCAAAGATGCTTTGTAATATTACAGGAATAAAACCAAGCACACCAATGCAGTAACTCAACAAATGATAAATATAAATCTGTATGCGCTGAATGTACAAATCACTTAAATCACAAATACAAGTTTTGGTTCTAGTTCTAGCTTGCATATGCTCATATAGTCCTAGTATCCTAGATCCATCTAAAATGAACATTAACATGAACGCACACTCTCACCATTTATTTTACTGTAGAGTTAAAAATAGAAAAGTATAACTGCATAATAATCTTCTTTCAATAATTTTTAAGAATAAGGAGTTTAATTTAAACATCTTCCAGAATGAGGGCTGAAGCACAATTAAATACTTTCAAACATTTTTTAATTTCGAAAAGAAAACGCTGACCAAGTGAATGAGCGTAAGTCAAATATCACTGCCAGCTAACATTCATACATAATATTTGTAAATGTATTAGGTATTAGATGAAATCGGGCACACAAAAAATATATATAGTTTTTTTTTAATTCACTCATCCTGATCTAGTCTGGCAGTCACGTCATAATCTCATAAACAGAATCAGATAAAACTTGTCATTGAAGCCCTGGTTTCCAGCAGCCCCATCCACATTTGCCATACTGTTTTAAAACCATTTACTGCAAGGGGGAAAACGGTGTTGGGATGAGGATCCTTGACTTCATGTGTCGAATCAGTGGAACTGGTGAAAAATTACACATATTTACACCTTGTAAATGACATGCAACCAAATCTTACCAGGTTTTAGCAGTTTAGTTGGTTAACCACATTAAAAAAATAATTACTTCGTAGAGAAACCAAAATTTAATTTTTGTCTCTTGTGTTTTAATTAGTGTTCTTTTTATTATAGGGAAATTAAATTTAAAAAATAGCTCAAGATTTGAGAGATACACACGAAAGGAATGGTGAAATGATGGTGTGAGGTCACACACGAAAGGGATTCTGCCGACTGAAATTATTTTAAAATTCCCTTCAGCTAACAGCACACGGGCCAGATGTAACGGCAATATGTCCAGTTTGAAGAAGCTTCGACATGTTCCCACCCTAAACCCATGGAAGAAACACATCAGAACTCAAATGTCAGCTCACCTGTGTACTCCACACATTTATCCCAGCCAGGCCTGTTCCATGCAGCTTCCCTGGTTTCTTTTCTTGTTTGCAGATCTTTATAAGCTGTAAACACACACACAGAATGTTCCAATTGAATGTTACCTGCACTATCACTTAACCAGTAGGAATATCAACACTAAAAGGATCCCCTCTCTTCTCAAAAAAAAAAACAAAAAAAAAACCCTACAAAAAATTGAACGCTTAATTTAAATAAATCAAGTTAAAGCATAGAAAGATTAAATGATCAAAGGTCACACTGATTACTGATGTGACTAAATGGGAGAGAGGGGGTGGGGGACTATTAGGATTGTTCAATGAATACCTCTGATGCATTGTTCAATTAATAAAATGGTGTTCCCAGTCTCATTTTACAGTGTCGTCTGAGACTATTAGGATTGTTCAATGAATACCTCTGATGCATTGTTCAATGAATACAGCTGATGCATTGTTCAATGAATAAAATGGTGTTCCCAGTCTCATTTTACAGTGTCGTCTGAAAACTATTTGCAGTAGCAGCAATGACATGAAGTAAACCAACTACTGAGAACGATTAGTTCATGGGGTAATCTCAAGCACACCAGGTCATGAATAAAAAATATAATTTATCATGGAATATTGTATTTTTCAACCTGTTGTCATATTATTTGTGCTCATTTCTTGCACTGAACTGCAATAATTAACAATACATACAAATGTTATTTTTAGTAACAAAAGCAATCTAAAAAAAGTACCAGCAAAGTTCTTCATTTTTATTAAATGCTTCACTCATGAAAAAGTTTTTGTGTCTGTTAAGTCAATATTAATCCACAATTTAAACACTTAAAATCTTTTTTTTACAAATTACAGGGTTCAGTTTCCTTTTTTAATCTAGTCTAGTTTCTTATCAAGCATTTAACTGGTATTCAAATCTGATCAACTACCCATAAAAATCCCCATTTAAGACTATGGACTATAATTCATAAAAAATAATTTTTAAAATTTAAAATGGACCCAGGGATTTAATGAGACTTAAAATCACAAGATATTTATTTAGTTCATAGGAAAAAATTTAATAAACAAAAATGTGCACATAATTGTTCATTAGTGAGAAAATAATGAGTTTAAGATTATAACTCGAGAGCAGGGGGAAGAAATAAATGAAGGAAGCACACTAAGTATAGGCAAGAGGGAAATGTATTTGAAAGAGTGATTCATTATATATTTAGGCAAACCACTTAATTACATAGAAGTCTGGATTTGCAGGTAGAGAGGCTCTGGTTCAATGATCTTATTAAGTAGCATAGAAGTACATACCCCATATGTGGTGCACATTGTATTGTTCCCCTATTTGAGAAAACAATCCTGCTACTGGTTCATTTTTTTCTGTCTTCCTATATTGCAGTCCCCTAGCCCTTTGGGAGAAAATAAGAAATCTCGGTAATGCCTTTAAAATGTTAATCAATTTTGAATTTATCCCCCCTCATCAAACCAGTACTCATATTTCTGCTAAGGTTATGCACACGCAATGGATATCGATTGTTGCCCCTACAGAAGTTCAGGGGAGATGGTGTCAAGCTGTAGAGAAAAATATTAAGAGGTGCAGCAGTTATTCTTCTAACACCAAGTGAAGAGATGCAAATGAATGTTAGCACACAATGATGCAAAAGGCCACCAATTTAGTAACTATTAACTGGAATAAAAATGCAGACATAAAATAATTTTTTTTTTAAAAATCACATTCATATAAAAAAAATATCAGTAAATATGTTTAAAAAAAAAACAAAAAAACTTGACTTAAATTTTTATTTTGGACTTTTAAGTAGCTGTCTTTTGTAATGATAAAGGGGACATCTTGACTCTTTTATGAGTTAAACATTTTGAAGACATTTATTTTAATATTGTCTTTTTTGTTATTATAGCCTTTTTTACTTGTCGATGACGTCAAATGTTCAATATCATTTGTATTTTATAAATAAATCAACTTCAGATGTAAAGTCTGGTAGTCTCTCACATGCAACTGCTGTTCACCACTTGAGAACAAACTTCATTAAATAATAAAAAATCACAAGCAACTTTAGCGTTGTTGCAAAACTGGTAGAAAACCAAGGCCGCCAAACAAAGACATCCAAGTAAGCTAGGAAATAGACTGGAAAGAAATAAGTTGATGCATGCAATCCAACTCAATGCCGAGTCAGTTGAAAACCTCATCTCACACATATGTTAATGGACTACGTATGAACTGCAATGTGAGTGGTTGAGAAGACACATGAAGGCACTACAACGGCTACACGTGATGAACCGATTGCATCGTCCAGCATCACGGTTGAATCTTCAAGGCTTCCTCACTTACCCCAGATGTGCTCACAGCTGTATACATTGCCTATCTGGGTAAAAAACCCAGCCACGGGCTCATTGTTAGTTTCACGAAACTTTATGCCATTGGCCCTGATGGGTAAAGAGGGAAAAATGAGAAAAACAAAGTCAAACAGATGTGAAAAAGATCCTGCACCAGAACTGGGGAACAGTTGAGGGGTTTTTAAAAAAATCATTTACTGTTACCAAATGACATTTAAAAAAAAAAAAATATTAAGCCAACCAGAGCTCCCACTTGATGGCACCATGAGCTGTATGCTCTGTCAGCTACTACAGATATATTTAAAATGCTAGGTTACAATTCACAACTTACCAGCAGTTTCCCCATTCATACATGGTTCCAGGCTGTAATGAAATAATAACATGGGTGTATTTTAATGAAAACAATTTTCAACACATTAAATCCACAATGCACATCATATAACTAACCACTATATTATTATGATACTTCAGCTCAGCACAGGGCTCACAAAAATGAAAACATTTATGCAGGAAACAGTTTAGTGGAGAAGGCTTACATTATTGAATTGAAAAATTATATTATTTAAAATATTAGAATTTAAAAAAAATACATATTTTGGTATAATGCTGCCAGCTGTGAAAGGTGGACTAAGAAATTAAAAAATTGATGTTTTAACTGGTGTGTACTAGATACTTTCAGACCTTTCAGCAAATGATTTTCATTGCAAAAATAACATAATTAAGTATCATGAGTCATTTTGTTGCTTTAATCACACTGTACAGTTTTTAAAATGAAAAGTCATGACCATTCAAATGGCGATTGGCAAACTCTCTGGCTAATATTGTAATTAATGCTTCTAAAATATTAAAAAATTTGATGATGAACCACTGCTATCTTAAGTATGTTAGAAAAACAGTAAGAAAGTAGTAGAGTCATTAGAATGAATGCAGTTAAGGAGAAATGATTCACAATTTTTTTTTTAAAATGGGTATTAACTTATTAAGTGTTTTATACTAAAATAATGTTGGTCGTCTTTCGCACTTGAAGATGACCAAGGCAATTTTTTTACTTGAGTTGACTTGAGCTGTATTTTGTTTTAAGTGAGGGAAAGTTGCTCAATTTGTCAGCCTCACTCTCTCATCCTTGCCTATCTGATCCAAGATGAATGGAAATAGACCAGAATGCAGTAGATGACCAGCAGGACTCCATCTCCTGGTTTGATTTCAGAGTTTGCCATCTCTTAGATGAATTTCCATCCAAGGTTAAAGAGTCTCATCCACCCAGTGGGCTGGTTATATTTTTACTTGTCAAGGCATTTTTCTGGGGACTGAACTTCCACTCCAATAGTTTGGGATTGACTCAATTTAGACCGCTCGGCCACCCAGCAAAGGCATTACTGTGAATTAGTCCTACCAGTATTGTTGTTGACAATTGCCGTAGATAAACACAGGCAATAATAGTAGTATCGACATTGTTAAAAAATCAGAACAAATGCTAGAAATTTAAGATAACAGTAACCTGGAAACTGAAAATAAGTGGGAAACTCATCTGAAATACTGAATCCACAGCAAAGGTTGTTACACTTTGTGAACTGACCTTAAGTGTATAGCTCCTGAGTTCATATATATTACTTGGTGGTCTCGGCTGGATAGGTGGCCAAAAACTGAAAGCTAAAACTATTTGGTTTCTTCTTGAACGCAACATCATATTTCTCTTCTTGCGAAATTCTTTAAAGTCCTGAAAGAAAAAACAAAAACAATTTAGGATGAAAACTGTTTTCATCAAAACTTTTGACCTACTGAACTGAACCCCTAGTTAACATTCATCAAGATTTTGTATCTTCCATACGTTTTAGAATATAATCCAACTATCAGACTCACAGCATCCGTCCTATAGATGGTGTTTGCTGTGTTTAATACAGGATAGCCTCCAGGATACTGCCAGATGTGAACTGTAGATAGAAGACAATATGAAAAAAAAAAATGTATGTTATTATTAAGGCATCAACAATACCAAGACTTTCTGATTGATATATGCAAGCGATATAAGAATTTTTAAAAAAGCAAACGTTCCAAAATTGTATATTGAACAACTTTGCTTTTCATCAAAATTCTTATTCATTCACTTGAAATGGTAATCTTAAAAAAAAAAAATTGATATAATATTTAAAAATGTGTTTCAGCAATTCAAAATAATATATTTGACCTCACCAACTGGAATATCTAATCAAAAATAAGTAGTCATAGTGTCTAATAAATTTATTCAATAGATGTTTCAAAATTAGTAATGAATAAACATTTACCTGCTTCATCTTGATCCCCTATTTCAACAGTAAAGCTGCCAACAAGTTCAGACCCAGTACCCTTTTCTTTCATCAGCTTCTGGAAGGTGGAACTAAAAAAATGAAATGAATAAAAAAAAATCTATCACAAGTCCAAGAATACCAGTTTTTACATAAATAAATAAATGGAAGATATAAAATAATAATAATAAATCCTGCTAAATATACAATTGTTTTCTCCAGATTTTACTTTTAAAAGGTATAAAAATAACTTAATGACAGGTACTTACAATTGATTTATGTATTCTTCCATAAATTCTGGCTTCACAGCATGAACTAATCAAGGCAAAGAAACACACAAAATAATTATTATTTGATTAAAATTTTCATGGAACAAGCATTGATAAATCTCAATCTAATGATAAAGACTTAAATTTATTGTTCAAAAAGCAAGATTTTTTTTCTTCGTTACTGTATCATGTAACTGTAACTTTTCATCAGCAGACTACATAATTAACAATGGCGAAATGCCAGGATTGTCGTAAAGCAAAAAACCAATGAGAGGTCACACTTGCTTCTGGTCTGTGGATAATGGAGACACTTGTCTTCAGCATATGTGCACTAACTCAGCAATTTAAAGAGTTTTTACTATTCTCAGGTGGCACTAGGCCGATCGAAGTAGATTTGAAGGTTGCTAGGTAATTTATGCGCAACAATTGATTTTCTTGAGATGTTCGTTTTTAATATGTATAATTGTTATGACTTTTGCAAGTAGATGTTTCATCCAAATGACTAGCCTTTCATTCGTGCAAGCTTAAGTAAAATTATATCTTTGTGTCACTGAAATTACATGTCAGCTAAAATGAGCATCATTAAAAAGTGGACAAAATGAATTTATTAAAACAACCTTTGCACCTCCTTACATTGAATTTCATAAACAGTTTCTTTACTAGAAAGTGCCATAGAGTGTGATTGTTCAGGCTGTGCAGTTTTCTTAAGCCTGCTAAACCACCCTTTGGCACTGTCCTCATCAGAGTCATGATCTTTTTTCAGTAAGGCAGAGGTGTGCACGTAGCGAAATCTGTGTTTTGAAAGAAAGAGTTGTTGACATGTTAAAAAATTTTTTTTATAATACTATCAACCGGACATTGTCCAAATCATGCCCGACAGGCCTCCCCCCACCCCAGTTTTCATTCAGCCGGTGGAAGTTAGTTAAAAATATGATCAGGTATGAAAATCTTTTACTCCTCAAACTACAGGACAACATTAAATAAAAATTAACAATAACAAAATTTGCTTTGACAGATAAAAATAGTAAAAGAAATGAAGTAATAATAGGCATATTGTGTAGTCTATTTAATAACACACATACTTTAAACGTACTTATAAATGTAGACTGGACTGTCATATACTGTACTGGCAAAGTCAGAGTTAATGTAACTGTTGCACTTCATTAAAAATAAAAGGCCTATGCCTAAATAAAATAGGTATTAATTACCGCTGGTTTTTGGGTATACATTTTTGCTGACTCTGCAAATTTTGGCCTTTCACCCACTTTGAAATACCAAGCTGGATTGCATTATTTGTAAATATACAAGAAATCACCGTCATTAATGTTAATGCCCGCAGTTAAAAACTCAAAGAAGAAACTTCCATATTTTTTCATTCTCTTTTCGATTCGCTTATTAACTTCTCTATAAATTGAAGAATACAAGAAATATTTAGCATTTAAATTGTGACATCACTTGTCCTCAGTAATTCAGAAAAGTGCTTTGCCTCTTGTTAAGATGACAATGTGACGTCCTTGGTAATTGAAAGTGGGTGATCATAATGCCGCATTGAATTCAGCGGTAATGAAATAATAATAATAATAATTAGTGGTCTTACATAGCGCAGTAACCCAGCCTAGGGCTGGGCTCACCGCGCTGTAAATAAAAATATTAGCAAAAGAGGCATAATCATGACATTAAAATAAAATAAATTTATGAAATAAAGAACAGCGTGTAACCAAAACAACAAAAACAAATGTATATTCACCCACCCCACCCCAGAACTTTTACATAGCAAACCATTGAGGGCAGCCAGCAGGATCGTTTATCAGTCAGAGGAGGGGAATCTGTCAGGGTAGTGTAGTTTAAAGAGATGTGTTTTGAGTGCAGTTTTGAAGGCCTGGGTGGCAGGTATATTGCGGATGTGTAGTGGCAAAGAATTCCATTGTTTGGGGGCGCAGAAAGAAAAAGATCGTTCGCCGTATGTTTTAGTGTGTGTCTTGGGAACGGACAGAATATGTGTGTCTGCGGAGGAGCAAAGCTGTTGGAGGGATGAATAGATAGAAAGAAGTTTGGTTAGATAGGAAGGGCAGGAATCCGAGAAAAAGTTGTGACAGAGAACAGACAGCTTGTAGTCAATGCGTGCCTGTATAGGGAGTCAATGAAGGGAGTGGAGTAGTGGAGTGACATGATCACATATTTTGCCTTTAGAACTAGCCTAGCAGCTGAGTTTTGAACTTTCTGAAGTTTTTCTATGCAGTGTTTTGGTGAACCTAACAGAAGAGAGTTGCAATAGTCAAGACAAGAGAGAACAAGACCACAGACTAGAGTTTTTGTAGTGCTAACTGTGAGGTAAGTCAATCCCTACAATCAGTTCACTATTAGTTATTACCCATTATTCCTTTATATTATAAGTTTATTATCTTTATCATGAAGTCTGATAGAGATAGAGCCTATTCTAATTCTAGTTCTAGTCTTTTCAATCTAGGCCTAGGTCTAAAAGTTAAAGTTCTAATTAGTCTAATTGTTGAAATTGTCTAAACCTGATTATACTATACCTATTCTATAAAAAGGACTACAAAACATATTGACATTGATTAACTGTTTTTAAAAAGATAACAAGGCCTAACTATTTAATTTAATGACTAATAATATAAACATCAGCCCCCACACCCCCCCAAAAAAAATCCCAATCACCTAAAACTAATTTCTATAAAATATAACTATTAGTTAAAGTATAAATATAAATCAGGGGACTTAAGTCTAGGTCTAAGCCTAATTAGTAATTTTCAATCTGACTTAAAATTTGTCCTGGGATTAGTTCTATTAACATAAGTAGAAAACTCAAAAATTATTTCTGAACCCCTTTCACGATTATATTATAAGCCAATCATGGAAGTACTTAGTAGTGTCTTAAGAAAATACTTTTAAAAATTCAGGGTCAAGGTCAACAGAGTAGAGATAAAGATGACAATAGAATCATATTGACTGGCATTATAACTGTTACAGTAAACAAACTTAAAAGTTTGCATGTATTTAATAATGCATCATTAACTATTTATTTTTTTTAAATTGATGAATGCAATATAAACTGAAATAATTTTTTCCGAACCTGTCAGTTAATGATATGGTACTCAGTTTATGGACTGAAGACACAGCCGGGCATAAAGTCAATCCCCTAAGCGATTTGCACAAACCAGCCATGTTTGGTTTATGTATATAGTCTCGAAATACTGTATTGAATTATTAAAATGCATGCCAGTCGATTCTGAATTAATTTCATTTATACTAAAGGAGTTTAAATAATTAACGTAATTTAAAATCATAAGAAAGTAGTTTTGTTTTGTGAGAAATCAAATAATAACGTTAAATTAAAAAGTTTAGTGTATATTTAGAGAGTATTAATCAAGCAAATTGTTGGATTGGATTAATGTATACATGTAATTTATATCGCTTTGCTTTATCTAATTAGTGTAATGTCCCGTCTAAGTAGGCTGAGAGTGTCGACTTTTTTTTAGCATTCCTTATTTATCATATGATCTCTATTAATTTATAGGTATCAATATAATTTAAGGTGTGACATGTTATTTAGAACTTATAAATAGGTAGGTATGACAGGTATGGAGGGAGGTAACGAAGGAGGATGGGCTTGAGTTTGAGGTAGGCAGGTAGGGAGAAAGGGAGGAGTGAGAGGAGGTAGGACGGTAGGAGAGAGAGGAGGGAGGTGGGATTGAGGAAGATGGTGAAGCAGGAAAGCGTAATTAGGGGGAGGAGAGAGGAAGAAATAAATAAATATATGAGATGTGGTTGAAAAAAAATTTGTTGAACAGGGATTGAATGAGTCTTCTATTATGGGGCATGCGATTTTTCTACCTATTGCACTCCGGTGAAAATTGTATAATTTTTTTTTTAAAGAGCAGTTCTACCTCCTTTTCAAAATTCTCACAGCAGATTCATGCTACTTATATCACCAGTGTTTCCCTTGTTATAGATGCCGTCTCAACAGCAACTGGAGCCCTGGCCTGGGCAAGGTATTACACTGATGTCCCCTATTCCCCTTGAACATTATTCAAGTAATATTAAGAAACGCATTGACCAATGCATTATGGCCAGTTTTTCTTTCAGAGATATTCATCAAAAAAAAAAAAGTAGTGGTTTTGGAAGAAAAAGAAAAGGGGGGGGGGGCGGTTCAGCCATTTTGGTGTGAGGGGGCGGGGCTCTACTAAACTAGGCATAATGTCATCCAGGGCGAGCTCTGATTTAGGCTATACTCTTTGATCTACTTAGAGACCCTCCACCCGCAAATGAAAAAAAAAAAATAAATAAATAAAATCTCAAACGTTGTTCACAAAAAATGGAGAAACGTTCCTCCAACAGCAGATTGTTAGAAGATTCAATGTTAAAAAAGAATAGCAATATTTATCAACAAAATACGCAACAAGATGCCCCTAGACGCGTGAGGCCCCCTTAGAAGCGAGAGGCCCTGCGGGAAACTGCCCAGTATTCCCATGCCTTAAGACGGCACTGGTTGTTACAAGTTGGTAGAGGCGTTTGATGATAAATATTTAATGACGGATTCGAAACTAGAACTAGCGACTTGTACAGAATGCAAAAACCATGCATTTCGTGTTAAAATTCGTTATATTGACATCGCTTTTCTTCGTGGGCGGCTAGCTGACCAGGTGGCGAAATCTTCGGACGGCTCATTGAACCACTTCCCGTCAAGCTGAAACTTGGTGCATAGACTCGATTCCGACGACAACACATTCGGTCAAATTTTCATCCCAACTCCCCCCCCCCCCCCCTCCCCCCAAATAAATAAATAAATAAATAAATCAGTTTTTCCTGTTTTTCAAAGGGAACATGAAGGAAAATACCTATAACTGCGCTATGTGAGATTCTTTAAAAAATATTGCAATGTGCGTTTGATGTGCAATATTTTCTTTTGTTTCTCTGAAAAAGTTGGTGAAGTAAAGCTGCGGCGTAAAAGCATGTGGGAATTAGAACATTAATATGAATTATAATTATAGTATATCAAAAAAAATCAAATAAAGGATTCATACGAACAACTTTGTTTTGATGGGTTGTTAAGTTAAATCCTTTGTATCGGCATCGCTGTAACTTGTTATATAGACTCGTTGCCAATTACAACACATTCTCTCAAATGTTCAGCCACACCTCTTAACCCCAACCCCCATATGTTATTTTTCCCTGTTTTTTAAGGGGAAGGTGAAGGACATAGGATGCCAGCGATTTCACAAAATAAAATTCCCGATGACTCGCTAAATGATTTTTTTTTTTTTTTTAAATTTTTTTTTTTTTTTAAATTTCGCAATTGCGTTTGTTGTGTAATATTTTCTTTTGGTTTTATGAAATCGTTGGTGAAATAGATGTGCGGTGTAAAAAGCGGATGGGTCATTAGAAGATTAATATAGTTCCGTGGCATTAAAACAAAACAAAAAAAAATGAGCGGGGTTGCCCTTGGTGGGGGTAGCACTAATTGTGATGCTTATGAAGTGCGTTACTTGAATGCACGTTTTGTCAAATTTTCAGCCCCCACCCCAATAGCTCAATATTACATTTTATCAAGGATTCATAGAAACATTTAAAGGAAAAAAACAACGTTTGTTTTTAGTGGTTGTTTAATTTTTTTTTTCTACGGCCGGTTATACCCGACGTTTGCTTAATAGCAAGCATCTCTCGTCTTGACTATTGTGACTCTCTTCTGTAAGGTTCACCAAACCATTTCATAGAAAAACTGCAGAAAGCTCAAAACTCAGACTGCTAGGCAAAGAAACGTGATCACGTCACTCCACTACTTCACTCACTTCATTGGCTCCCCGTACAGGCACGCATTGATTACAAGCTGTCTCCGTCACAACTTTTTCTCTGTTTCCTGCCCTTTCATATCTTACTGAACTTCTTACTGTCTACTAACCCCTTCGAAAGCTTCGTTCCTCCGCAGACACGCGAATTCTTTCTGTTCCCAGAACACGGACAAAAACAGATGGTGAACGATGTGTCTTTTTCTGCGCCCCCAAACAATGGAATTCTTTGCCACTACACATCCGCAATATACCAACCACCCAGGCCTTCCAAACTGCACTCAAAACACATCTCTTTAATCTCTAACATCCCTTTGACCGATAAACGATGCTGCTGGTTGCTGTCCATGGCTTGAAATGTAAAAGTTCTGAGGTGGGTGGGGTGAATATACATTAGTTTTTGTTTTGTTGATATACTGCTTTAAAAAAAAAAAATTAAATAAATGTATGTTATTTTTAAATGTAATGATTATGTTTGCAAAAATTTTTCATGTAAAGTGTGATGAGCCCAGCCCTAGGCTCGGAGACCGCGCTATATAACACCACTAATCATAATAATAATAATATATTTAAAATTACATTAATTCTATCCCCAGGAATAGGAAAACTCTATTCCCATTTTCAACGGATAAGCGAAAACCCCGGGGAAATGAGAAACCCTAGTGAGTACGTCAAAGAAGTAATAGTGGGCCACAAAAGCGAGTGGACCGCTCTGTACCATAGAAGAAATGTGCGCCAACTGTTGCACTGCAATGGCTTTAAGCTGTAGGGACGGTCGGTGATTAGACGGGAGGGCATACACATAAAATACAATGTTTGGATGGTATGGATTGGATTCCGGGTTTTCATAGGTAGGATAAGTTTTATTAATTGTACTTCTAGTATTTTTAAAATGATTAACGCAATGATCGTTTCTCGTGGTTCAGTTGGAGAGTGTAAAAAGTTAGAGAGCAGGATATTCATCGCGGCGTTAAAAATAACCCATTGAGTGTTTCTTGTGGTTTAGTTTAACTACTGAGCCCCCTTACAACACACCGAGGTGAGTAAAGTCAGAAAGGGGGTTTATACACAATTGTGTACCGATGTTGCTCAAAATAGGTAAAAGCGTCAAAGGCAGATCTAAAATTAATTATTAATTTTTTTTTTTAGTTGGGACAAACATTATAGGGCTAAACGCAGACTGGTTCACGAATATTTTTTACTATATAAAAAAATTAAGTAGGATGTACTAATTATCCGTATTTTTTTGATATAAAAAAGGTGTTTACTAAATTTAAGAATGTCTTTATTGGGGAACACACAATAAGAAGACAAAGATACCGATAACGGATTAAATAGTTTGAAGGAACTGGGAGAATTTAAAGTTAATTTGAAAATTGACATTTTCTGCCAAAAAAGATAGAATGAGACAGTCTTATGCTGCCAATCAGGCAACAATCGGTTCGGTACTTGTCAGATTTCTTTGGGGTTTGGAATTTTATTATTTTATTTTTTAAATAGTGTTTTTATTATTTTGTAATTTTTAAGTGGTGGTTTGGGGGGGGGG